TACGCGGCCCTCGAGCTCAACCTCGGCGAGTCCGCGAAGATGATCGCGCTCCGCGACGAGCGCATCCTCGCGCTCGAGCGCGAGTCGAGCGACGGCTTCGCGGCCGCGACGGCGGAGACGCAGCAGCTCGCCAAGCTCGTCAAGGAGCTCGAGCTCAAGCTCCTCAACAAGAAGCCGACGATCGTCGAGAAGGTCGCCGCGGGGCCGCGGACGCTCCGCGGCGGCACGGGCGCGCGCGACGAGGGCGCGGCGAAGAAGGCGTCCTCCTGGTGGAATCGATGAGCGCGCCGGGCCGCGCCGGGGGCTCCTAAAACACGCCTTAGCTCCCCCCGACGCGCGGCGGGGCCGCGCGGAGCGGCCACCGCGGCCGCCGCCTCGCGTCGAGCGCGGCGGCGAAGCGTCGCGAGGACCGCGCGCGCGACGGGAGGACCTAGCGCGGCTCCGGCGGGACGGCGGTGATCCAGGGGGTTGCGCGCAGCTCCGGCGGCAGGTGTTGGAGGAAGGCCTCCGCGCACTCCTTGCACTCGGCGCACTCGATGCGGCGGCCGCACTCGACGCAGCCCTGCCCGCGGCGGCAGGTGCCGCAGCAGTCGCAGTAGTCCACGCCGCAGGCGCAGCGGAAGCTGCTCGGCAGGCCGCAGGTGAAGCACGTCCGCCCCGCCGGCGGGTGGGCGTCGCCCAGGGGAAGCTCGACCGGCTGCGCCGGCTGCGACGGCGGCGGCGGCTTCGGCGCCGCGGACGACCGCGAGTCGCGCGTCGTCGACTTGCGCCCCGGGAGCCACGACATGCTGGCGAGTGTGGGGCGTCCCTCAGACCGCGAATAGGGGTCCTACATAGCCTCTGGCAAATTTGCTATGTTGCGATTCAGCGACGAGATGTTGCACGGGAGACTCGGCGACGCCGTAGCTTACGCGGCGGGAGGCGTCAGATGGGGACGGGTCGGGGCGAAGGCCCCTCAGCTTAGGGCGAGCATGCGCGCGAGGAGCTGTGCGGGCTGGAGCTCGCGGAGGCACGGCCGCAGCGCCTCGATGTTCAGCACGTGGACGAAGGGCCGCTGGTCGGCGAGGTAGGCCGCGGGGTCGTCGTGGAGGACGACGCGCGCGGGGAAGGCCGGAAGCTCGGCCTTCGTCGATCCGCGCCGCGAGGCGCCGGAATCGGCGACGAAGTTGCCCGTCGCGCGGTCGTACAGAGCCGCGCGGTACGCGAACCCTAAGATCAGCGCCGGCCAAGTGATCCAGCACCACATGAGGAATTGGAAGAGATAAGCGATGAGGTGCTTGGGCGCGGGCTCGTCGAAGGAGAACGACGGGACGTGGTAGCGGTGGTCGACGACGCTCGTGCCCGCGACGCGGCCGCAGTCGACGATGCCCGAGGGCGGTGCGCGGGAGTTCCAGCGCCACCGCATGGTGTAGGCGATGCAAAGTAAGAGGTGCAAGCTGGTCCGTCGAACCTCCATGTACATGGCCAAACAAAAGCCCAAGTAAGCGCCAAGCACCTTGAACGGGCGGCAGACGTCCGAGACGAACAACGGCGGGAGCTCCTCGATCTCCATGCGCGGGACCCGGAGCCACACGACCCAGACGAGCCCGGGCCGGGGCGCGAGAGTCTGGCCCATCATGAGGTTTCGCACCTTCGCGTAGGTCGCGCCGAGCGACGCGACGAGCGCCGACTTCGTGAACATGTTCGCCATCCAGCTCGGCAGCGGGCACGTAGCCGCGTGCGCCCGGTCCTCGTCCGCGTGGTCGCCGTCGAAGACGCCCGACCCCTGCACGTTGTTCATGTTCGTCGCCGCCCGCCCCTCCCACGTCTCGCGGAACATCTCATTCTTCCTCCGCCGGCCGTTGTCGAGCAGGCCCGTGTAGAAGAAATCCTCGTCCGTCGGCTGGTCCATACTCTCCTTGGGGATCTGCGGCCCGTCCTCCGCCGCGGCCGCCGCCTCGAACTCGTCCATGGGCTCGTTCAGGTCGTCGTCGTCGGGACCGTAGGGGTCCGGCGTCCGCACGTCGCTTGCGGACTCGAAAAATTCCTCCCAGCGACGCGGGTCCGGCTTGAAGGTTGATGTTGCCTGCATGGACCTCAGGCCGGCCCAGACCGTGGCCTGGAACAGGCACAGCTGGGCCTTCATCAGCACGAGAAGAACGAACAGGCCCAGTCGATTCCTCCTCGGTTCGAGGTCGTCAGTCCCCTCGTACCAGAAGAACCGGAAGAAAGCGCCCAGTATTGAGTAGACGCCGTAGAAGCACGCCGCCGCAACGATAGTCGCCTCGGGCAGCGAGATGAGCCCCTGGGCGTCGGCGACGATCCCGGCGAAGGCTGTACCGACGAGGAACGAGGTCTCGCCGCCTGGCGCGATTCTTTGCAGCGGTCCCTTCTTCCAGGCGCTCGTGATTACGCCCGCGCCGAGGATGCATTCCACGGTGATTCGCTCCGCGTCCCGGAGCACCGCGTTCGGCATGAAGAAGCGCGCCCGAATCTTGTCGAGGTTTCTTTCCGTCCTGGCAAGCGAGAATGAAAACTCGCGCGAGAGCAGTGAAACGTTGCTGTCACGCTGGTCCGCGTAGTTGTCGACGCCGAAGTGCCACGCCGCGGACGCGGCGACGAGGAGGAGGAAGGCCGCGCGCGGCAAAGCCTTGCGGAGCTTCGACACGTAGCCGCCGCTTCCATCGTAACGCTGGAACAATGTCGTGGCGGATGCTGCTCCCATGACGGACGATGTTGCGGATGTGCGGGGAAGGCGCGGGAGCAGGGGCGCGGCAGTCGCGGGAGCAGGGGCGCGGCCGGAGACGACGCCTATCACGACGCGCGGCTCTTCAACACGTCGCTTGAGGATTGCCACAGCGACCAAGTGCTGTCGACCATGCAGCTGACGCCGCCGTCGTCTCCGTCGCAGCTGCGCGGCGCGCGCCGTTCGCCCCCCGACTCTGCCCGGTCGCGCCACAGCCAGGGCCGCGACCGCTCGGCGAGCCCTGTGCGACGCTCTTCGCTCGACGGCCTCGGGCGGCGCAGCGACCTCGGAACCGCTCTCCCTCCGCCGCCGGCCGACGACTGGAGCGGGCTCAACGACCGCCTGCGGCGCGACTACGACGAAAATGTCGCGCTCCTGGCCGAGGCGAAGGCGCGCCGCGAGCTCATCGTCCTGCCCGACGAACCTCGCCGCGCGCGCGGAGCGAAACTTGAGATGTGGCTCGCGGAGTGCGCGAAGCTGACGGGCGCGCAGGACCGCGCGATCGCGGACCTAGAGGCCAAGGTCAACCCGTCGGAGGACTGCGCGCGCGCCCGGCTGGCGCTCGCGCGGCCTTTCTATGCGTCTGAAGTGACGACGGCGCTCAACGCCGTGCTCGACCCAGTTCGCGAGCAGCTCGAGATGATCGACGACGCTAAGCGGCGCGTGCCGAAGCAGCTCGAAGAGCGCTACTCTGCCGCTGCCATGGCGCTCGAGGGAGGGAATGAAGTTCCGATCATCAAGAAATCATGGACACATCCGGTGCCGAAGGAGCGGGTGGAGCTTCCACCGTACGGAGTGGTCGAGCTAGAGTGCCCACAATGCGGGGGCAGATGGGATCGAAGATTTGGTACAATCTACGAAAAGTTCCACGGACACCAAGACTACGTGAGCTTCAAGTGTCCGGATTGTACCTCTTCCATTGCAATCGAACCGTCCGAATTTGGATTCGGGCTCCAAGACCAGAACCAAATGTTCCGAAGTGACAGAGGTCGTTGGAAGGCGCGGTTCCGTTGACCTTGCGCACCGCCTCACGGTACCGGTGACAAGGTGAAGATCGTCGCCATCACCGCGTGCTAGATCGTCGCGCTAGAACTTTACGACCTGGTCCGCCGCGTAGCCCAGGTCCCGGAGGAGCCCGGCGAGCGCCGGGTCGTCGCGGGGGCCGGCGAGCGCCTCGTACATGCCCGGCGGCCCGCAGACGAAGACCTTCACGTCCGCGTGGGGCGGCGCGACGTACTCGGAGACGAGCCGCGCGTCGACGCGGCCGCGGCGGCCGGCCCACGCGGAGCCCGCGGGCTCGCGCGTCAGCGTGGTGACGACGGTGAGCCGCGGGTGCGCGTCGGCCCAGGCGTCGAGGGCCTCGACGGCGAGGGCGTCCTCGCGCGTCTTGTGGCTCGCGAGGACCGTCACGGCCGTCTCGTCGCCCGGCGAGCCGAGGACCGCGTGGAGCGCCTGGAGCATGGGCGTGACGCCCGAGCCGCCCGCGATCATGGCCAGGTGGGCGGCGCCGAAGGGAAACTGCACTTTGACGTTCTTCGGGACGTGGCTGAAGTCGACGGTGTCGCCGATGGGCAGCTCGGCGAGCCGCGCGCTCAGCCCGGCGCCCGCGTAGACCTTGACCAGGAGCTCGAAGGACCCGACGAGCGCGTTCGTCGACACGGGCGTGTAGGGCCGGACGACGCCGCCGGCCCGCGCGAGGAGGCAGGCGCAGGTCGGCAGCCGCAGCGACTCGCCGGCGTCGAGGCCGAAGCGGAGCAGCACGGCGTCGCGGCTCACGTACCGCCGCGCGGCAAGCGGCAGCGGCCGCCACGACGCGTCGAGCGCGCACTCGCCGGGCGGGGAGAGCGCGGCGGTGGGCGGGCCCGGCGCGTAGGGCCGGAGCTGCGGCGCGGGCGCCGGCATGCGCAGGAGCAGCAGGCAGGCCGCCGCGAGCAAGCCGAGGCCCGCGGCGGCCGTGGGCTTGTCCGGCAGGAGGCGCACGAGCACGCCGCCGCGCTTCGGCGCCGTCGTCCGCGCGGCGACGGCGCGCCGCGTGGCGCCGCGCGACGCGTCGAGGCGCTCGTTCGAGGGCGCGCGTCTCATGTGCATGAGCAGAGCAAGACTGATAGCGACAAAAGAGTGCCGTGTAGGGCTGCAGGCCTGCAGGATTGACGACGCCGCTGTTGTTACCTGCGCCTATTAGCAGGGCATGCCATTTTTTGCCACAGATTTATTGCCACAGCAAAAAACTTCAAACAAAAAGTGCACGATGGGTGCAAGAACGCGCCGATCGATGGTGCACGCGCCATAGAACCGCCCAACTGCGAGCGCACGCGTCGCCGCCATGCGCGCGACGCGCGCGCGCTTCGGCTTCGCGGGGATCGGCAAGTTGCGGCAGCCCGGCGACTGGGACGCCCTGGCCTCCGAGGCCCTGGCGGACGTGGCGGCCTGCCGCGCCGCCGCCGTCGCGGCGGAGGACCCGCGGCGCGCGCTGCGGCTCGTGGACCGCATGTCGAACGCGCTCTGCGCCGTGCTGGACCCGGCGGAGCTGTGCCGGTCCGCGGACGCGCGTCCCGAGTGGCGGTCCGCGGCGCACGGCGCGTTCCGGCGCGTCGCGGGCGCGATGGAGGCGCTGAACGTGGACCGCGGCGTCTACGCCGCCGTGCGGTGCGCGGCGCGCGAAACCCTGCCGTTTAGCGCCGCCGCCGCCGCCGCGTCCCTCGCCGCGGAGTTCGAGCGCGACGGCTGCGCGTTGGAAAACCCGGGCGACCGGGCCGCGGCCGCCGCGCGGCGCCGCGAGCTCCACGACCTCGAGTTCGCCGCGGCGCAGCCCTGGGACGACGGCGGCGAGGTCTGGCGCGTGCCCTGCGGCGACGCGGCGGCCGTCGCGCGCGCCGTCGCCGCCGCCTACGGCGACGGCCTCGCGGCGCCCTCGGCCGACGGCGCCTCCGTCGACGTCCGCGGCCACGGCGCCGTCGTCGACGCCGCGCTCGGCGCCTCGCGGGACCGGGCGGCGCGGAAACTCCTCTGGGAGCGCCACGCGGCCGCGGTCGCGGCGTCCGAGGGCGCGGCGCGCGTCGACGCGCTCGCGGCCGCGCGGCGCGCGGCGGCGAAGGCGCTGGGCTTCGAGTCGCACGCGGCCCTCGCGCTCGGCGGCCCGCCGGCGACGCTCGTCGGCGGCGTCGCGGGCGCCCTCGACTTCCTGGGCCGCGAGGCCGCGCGCGTCGCGCCGGCCGCGGCCGCGGAGCGCGCCGCGGCCGCGGCGCTCGTCGGCGTCGCCGCGCTGGAGCCCTGGGACGCGCATCTCGGCCGACAACTCCTCCTCGCGTCGGCGCCGGCGCCGGCGACGTGGCGGCGCGAGGACGCGGTCGACGCGGTCGTCCGCCGCGCGACGGCGGAGCTGTTCCCCGGCGTCGCCGCGCGCGACGCGGCGCTCGCGCCCGGCGAGGCCTGGGCCGACGGCGTCACCAAGGTCGAGCTCTTCGACGGCGGCGCGCTCGCCGGCGCGGTTTTTTTGGATTTGGTCCCGCGGCCGGGGAAACCGCCGGCGCCCGCGCTCTACGCTGTGTGGAAATCAAATCTTCAACCCGAATTCAATGTGCGCGTATGCGACAGTTTCGACGCAAAGCTTTCTGCTGTGCTTCGAGAACTCGACGAGAGCAATCGATCCGTCCAAAAATCAGCCGAATCGACTTCGATTTGACCGAGATAGAGAGTTCTGAAGTTTGGCCCCGACGTCCCAGCTCACTGGTTGATTTGCACACAGGCTCTACGCGGTCCGCTGCGGCTGCGACGTCGACGGCGGCGCGCCCCTCGCGGCGCCGGACGGCCGCGCGGTAGTGCGCGAGGCCTGGGGCCTACAGGCGCCCGCGCGCCAGCCCGCGGCGGCCGCGCTCGTCGCCTCTTTGCCCGAAGTCGTCGGCGCCGCGGAGCTCGCGTCGCTCGCGCACGAGTGGGGCCACGCGCTCCACGCGGCGCTGGCGTCGTCGACGACGCAGCACCTGAGCGGCACGCGCGGCGCCACGGACGTCGCCGAGCTCCCGTCGACGGCTTTCGAGGCGCTCGCGGGACGAGAAAAGACGCTCCGTTTCCTCTTCCGCGGCGACGGCGCGGCCGCGGCGGCCCACGCGGCCGCGGCGGCGGCGCGGCGCGGGAAGACGGCGGCGACGGACGCGGCGCACCAGCTGGCGCTCGCCTACTTCGACCTCGAGCTCCACGGGCCCGCGCCTCCGCCCTACTTCGCCGCGGCGGAGGCCGCGGCGCGGCGCGTCGGACACGGCCGCGTCGACCCGCGGCCCTTCGCCGACGTCGCCCACGTCGTCTCCGCGCCGGCGACCTACTACGCCTACGCCTACGACCGGCGCCTCGCGGAACAACGCTTCGCGGACCTCGACGCGGGCGCTCCCTCGCTCCTCGCGTTCCTCCGGGCCGCGTCCGAGGCGCCCGACCCGCGCGGTTTGCTGTTAGGCGGCACCTAGAGGTCCGTGGACATGTGCTTCGTCTCGACGATCCTCTTGATGAAGTCGTCCTTCTCGAGGCAGCCCTCGCACTTGACGCCGCGGTCGTTGAGGATGCCCTTGAGCTCCTTGACGCGCATCTTCTTGAGCTTGGCGAGGAACTCCTCGGGCGAGATGTTCTCGTCGACCTGCACGGGGTACTTGACCTCGCAGATCTCCGCGTTGTCCTTCTTGAGCCGCTTGCAGACGCGGTCCTTGGGCATGCGCGTGGAGAACGGCTGCGCGATCGCCGCGCGGATGGGCTCGAAGTAGTAGCACATCTTGCGGTCCCGCGAGTTCAGGTTCGGGTTCGGCGCCTCGTTCTGCAGGTCGCCGCAGTGCTTCGTGATGCCCTCCATGATGCTCTGCTTGCTCGTCTTCTCGTCCTTGTCGATGAGGGCGTCGATGGCCTCGAGGTTCGCGATGCAGACCTCGCACTCCTTCGGGTCCTTCTTCGCCGCACCGTGCGCGGACGCCGCGAGGGCGAGCAGGGCCAAAATGCGGCGCATGGTCGGCGGCGGGCGCGGCGGCGTCGAGGCTGTACGTCCACGCGGCGGTCGACTTGTCCGGCGAGCTGTGACTGCGACTTCGCTCGCCGGGGTCCGAAGGCTGTCCGACGCCGCCGCCGGCCGCACGCCGCGCTAGCGCGCGCTCACTTGCGCGCTCGTGCCGCGACGCGGCGGCTCGTCGACGACGACGTCCCGGCGCCGCGCAGGGGGCGGTGCTGGCTGGGCCACGAGGCTGGGAGAGGAGATATGTCCAGCCGGGGCGGCGCGGCGAGACGCAAGAGCAGTCCCCACTTACATGGCCCAGGTCAGGCGGTCGACGGGCCGCCCGGCGAGCGCGTCCTCGAGGCCGTCGAGGAGCGGCTGCGGCCCGCCGGCGAGCACGTCCGCGCGCGCGCCGAGCGCCGCGTCCGCGCGCGCGACAACAGCCAGGAGGTCCGGCCGGCCGGCGCCCGCGACGGCCGCCGCGGCGCCGCCGCCGTCGCGGAGCTCGACGTCGACGGCGTCGTAGGCGCCGCGCCGCCGCCGCCGCGCGCGCGCGGCGACGTAGAGCGCGGCGGCCGCGGCCGCGTAGGCCGCGGACGCGCACGCGGCGAGCGAGAACCCGCCGGCGACGACGTTCGGGTTGCCTCTCGCGCCTCCGTTGAAGAGCGTCGGGCCGTGGGCGGCGAAGGGCGCGTCGTCGCGCCACGCGACGGCGTAGGCCGCGGCGAGGAAGCCCGCGCCCGCGGCGACGAGCGCCGCGGCGTCGTCGGCGCCCGCGGGGCCCGGCGCCGCCGGCGGCGGCGCCGCCGCGGCCGCGACCTCGGGCCACGCGGCGTCGGCCTCCTCGACGTCGCCCGCGTCAAAGAGCGGGTTCGCCGTCGCCTCCGCGGCGGGCGGCGGCGCCCGGGGGGCCGCGGCCCGCGGCGCGGCGCCGCCGCGCGTGACGTGCGCCTCGGCGGAGAGCCAGGGCTCGCCCGTCGCGCCGTCCGCGTCCGGCCGGCAGAAGCGCGGGAGGCACGCGAGCTGGTCCGCGCTCCGGACGACGGCGACGAGGCGCACGCGCGCGGCCTTCCCCGGCCGCGCCGCGCGGACGGCCCGGAGGAACGCGGCGGCGGGCGCGAGGCCCGAGCCCGCGGCGACGACGAGCGCGGGCCGGCCGCGCGCCGCGTCCTCCGCCCGGCGGACCAGGGCCGCCGGCGCGAGGAGCGGGCCGCGGACGTCGAGGTCGACGGCGCCGCGCGCCGCGGCGGCGTCGACCAAGGCGCGCGTCCACGGGCCGTCCGCGAAGACGTGGACGACCGCGGCGACGCCGCGCGGCCCGCCGGCGGCGCCGGCGATCGTGAAGGGGTGCCAGGCCCAGCCGCCGACGCGCCGCAGGCGGACCGCGCCGCCGACGAGGTCCGCCGCCGCGTGGCCGGGGAGCGGCACCCGCAGCGTCGCCGCGGACCCGCCGGCCTCCGCGGTGCAGGTCGCGCGCCGCTCGCAGGCGCGCCGCCGCGCGACGTCGGCGACGAAGAAGACGAGGGCCGGCGCGACGAAGGAGAGCATGCCCGGCCAGTGGCAGCACGCGAGGACCCACCACGCGACGTGGAGCTGGTGCGCGGCGAGGAACGCGCCGTAGCTCTTGCGCCGTACGGCGTGGACGCTCGCGGCGCCGAGCAACACGCCCGCAACGAGCGCGCAGAGGCCGAAGAAGTTCGAGATGCCGAGGCAGCTCCGCGAGAACGCGCGGCGGAGCCTGTGTGGAAATCAAATATGCAACCCGACTTCAATGTGCGCTTATTCGACCGTTTCGACGCGAGGTTTTCTGCTGTGCTTCGAGAACTCGATGAGAGCAATCGATTCGTCCAAAAATCAGCCGAATCGACTTCGATTTGACCGAGATAGAGAAATCTGAAGTTTGGTGGGGACCCCCCAAACCAGTGGTTGATTTCCACACAGGGCGGAGCGTCTCGGGGGACACTCGTCGGCCGTGCGGTGTCACGAGCTTGGACCCCCGCTTCGCCTCGGCCCGGTTCTGCTTCCGGCGCGGCCCGCGGTGGCACACGGCGAGGGCCTCGTCCCAGGCGTAGGTCCAGCCGTGCTCGAGGCCCCACGTGAGCGCGTAGAGCGACCCGTGCGCCTGTGTGCAAATCAACCAGTGAGCTGGGATGTCGGGGCCAAACTTGAGAATTCTCTAGCTCGGTCAAATCGAAGTCGATTCGGCTGATTTTTGGACGAATCGATTGCTCTTAGCGAGTTCTCGAAGCACGGCGGAAGTGCTCGTGTCAAAACATTCGCATACGCGCACATTGAAGTCGGGTTGAAGATTTGATTTGCACACAGCCGTGCGCGGCGACCAAGCCGACGGTCGCGCGGCCGAGCACGCGGTGGAGCGCGATAGCCGCCTCGTGGGGGAGCCCCAGGGCCCGGAGCGGCGGCGAGAACTGGGCCGTCGGGATGCCGAGGAGCGCCATGGGCACCATCGCGTCCCAGCCCAGCTGGTACGCGTTCCATTTCAGCAGATCGAGCCGCGCGGCGGCGCGCGAGCCCTCGCGGAGCGCGGCGCGGTCCGGCATGCCCGCGCGGCCGGGCACGACGGCGACGGCGTGGAGCGAGACGACGCGGACGACCGCGAGGCCTAAAACGGCGAGGAGCAGCCGCGACGCGCCGCCGCCGACCCTCGCCGCGCGCGGGACCTTGGCGGCCGCGGCGTCGCGGAGCCGCCGCGGCGCGACCCACGCCGCAGACGCCGCCGACACGACGAGCGCGGCGCACGCGGCGGCCCACTGGAGCTGGAACATCGTGCCGAGGGGCGCCGCGCGGCGCATGAGGTCGTGGCCCCACTTGATCTCCCAGCCGAAGAGGCAGGCGGCGTAGGCGCACGCGCCGAGCGCGACGCACCCGGCGGCGGTGCGCGGGCGCATCGGGACTCACGGTTTGCGGCGCTAGCCACTGCGTCAACAGCGCTTATCCATATTCCATCACCTCCGCAAAAAGAGCCTCCGGCCAATGTTGACCTGCACCTTGGCCCCGGGAGGCTGCCCGCCCCCACAGCGCGGCTTCGCCTCTTGTCGAAAACCGACCGCAGCGCGAGGATGCCGGCGCCGCCGCCCCACAAGCCGGACAGTCCCCTCGTGGCGATGATGACGCGGCTCGTCATGCTCTGCGGGCTGAGCGTGAGCTTCTTCCTCGCCTGGCACACGGGCTACCGGCAGATCCTCATGGAGGACCACGTCGGGGCGCCGAAGATCTGGTGGTGCGAGTTCGACGTGGAGCTGCCCGACGGGTCGGAGTCCATGTTCGTCGTCGAGGTGCACCCGGAGTGGGCGCCCCTCGCCGCCGAGCGCTTCGACGCGCTGATCAAGCTCCGCTTCTACGACGAGACGCGCTTCCACTACGTGCACGACAAGGCCGTGCAGCTCGGCATCTCGCCCATCAGCGACGTGGCGCTGACCTGGCGCGACCACCGCCACATCATGGACGAGCCCGTGCGGCGGACCAACGCGAAGCGCACCGTGAGCCTCGCGCCGTGGGGCGCGAACGAGCGGCCGAACCCCGTCGAGAAGAACATGCGGTCGACGATGCTCAGCATCAACAAGAAGCACAACAAGAAGTTCGACCACTACAAGTACACGCCCTTCGGGAAGATCGTCAAGGGCTGGGACGTCGTCTACCAGGTCTACGACGGCTACGGCGAGGAGGTCCTCCCGTCGAACATGGTCCTCAAGGGCGAGGAGATGATCGACTCCGAGTTCCCCCTCCTCTCCCGCGTCGTCTCCGCGCGCCGCGTCGAGCAGCCCCCCGCGGAGCCCGAGCTCTGAGGGCCCCTAAGACCGGGCGGCACCGACGGGGCGGCGCGCGCGCGACGCTCCGCGACGGGCCGATTAGGCGGCGGGGCCCCCGCTACTTCGACGCCTCGAGGTCCGCGATGGACGCGTCGAGCGTCGCCTTCTGCTCGACCTTCTCCGCGAGCTGCGCGCGCGTCTCGTCGACGACCTTGGGCGGCGCCTTGTCCGCGAAGCCCGGGTTCTTGAGGCGGCCCTCGAGGCCCGCGATGTCCTTGGCGAGCTTCTCCGCCTGGCGGCCGAGGCGGTCGAGCTCCTTGGCGACGTCCTTCGCGAGGTCCGCCTGGGGCAGGTAGACCTCGAGGCCGTCGGCGACGACGAGCTGCACCGCGTCCGCGTCGATGTTCGCGTCCGCCTTGGCGGCGACGACGGCGACGCGGTCCGGGTCGACCTTGGACAACAGCGCGAGCGCCTTCAATTCCGACGTGATGAGGTCCGCGAGGGCCGCGTCCTCGCAGACGATCGTCGGCCCCGTCTTCACGGCGGGCTCGATGCCGTACTCCGCGCGGATGTTGCGCAGCGCGCGCACGAGGCCCTTCCACGACTCCATGAGCCTCACCGCAGACTCGTCAAACGCGAGCGCCGCGCCCTCGAGCGCGGGGTACGGCGCGGCCATGAGCGCGGCGCGCTCGTCGCCCGCGCCGTTGTAGAGCTTCTGCCAGAGGAACTCCGTGACGTGGGGCATGAAGGGGTGGATGAGCTTGAGGCAGACCTCGAAGGCGTACGCGAGCGCGCGCTGCGACGCCTCGGCGTCGTCGCCGGACCGCGTCTTCGACACCTCGACGTACCAGTCCGCGAACTCGTTGTAGAAGAACTCGTAGGCGCGCCGCCCCGCGTCGCCGATGGCGTAGTCCTCGAGCGCCGCCGCCGACGCCTCCGCGCACTCGTGCGCCTTGGAGACGATGTAGCGCTCGAAGACGGGCATGGCCGCGAGCTCCGCCGCCTGGATGGGCCCGTCGCTCGGCGTCGCGCCCGCGAGCTTGGGCTCGAGGAACCGCGCCGCGTTCCAGATCTTGTTGCAGAAGTTGCGGTTCTCCTTGACCTTGTCCATGGACAGGGGCACGTCCTGGCCCGGCGTCACGCCCGTCACGAGGCTGAAGCGGAGCGCGTCCGCGCCGAACTCGTCGACGACGTCGAGCGGGTCGACGACGTTGCCCTTGGTCTTGGACATCTTCTCGTTGTTCTTGTCGCGGACGAGGCCGTGCATGTAGATGACCTCGAAGGGCGACTCGCCCGTGAACTCGAGGCCCAGCATGACCATGCGCGCGACCCAGAAGAAGAGGATGTCGTAGCCCGTCTCGAGGCACGTCGCCGGGTAGAACTTGGAGAAGTCCGGCGTCGCGTCGGGCCAGCCCACGGTCGCGAAGGGCCAGAGGCCGCTGGAGAACCACGTGTCGAGCACGTCCGGGTCCCGCGTCAGCGCGGTACCGTCGTCGACGCCCGCGGCCCGCGCCTGGGCGCGCGCGTCGTCCTCGGACCGCGCGCAAAAGTAGCCGTCGTGGCCCGCGGCGTACCAGACGGGGATCTGGTGGCCCCACCAGAGCTGGCGCGACACGCACCAGTCCTGGATGTTCTCGAGCCAGTTGTACCACTCCTTCTCGAAGCGCTTGGGCACGATCTTGATGTCGCCATTGCGCACGGCGTCGACGCCGCGCGCGCCCATGACCGTCGTGTTCACGAACCACTGCGTCGACACGAGGGGCTCGATGACCTCGCCGCCCCGCTGCGAGATGGGCACGCGCGACGCGTACTTTTCGGTCTTGATCACGAGCCCGGCCTCGTCCATGTCGGCCCAGATCTGCTTGCGGCACGCGAAGCGGTCGAGGCCCGCGTAGGCGCCGCCGTTGTCGTTGAGCGTGCCGTCGCCGTTGAGGATGTTGATCACGGGCAGGTCCTGCCGGAGCCCGATCTCGTAGTCGTTCGCGTCGTGGCCCGGCGTCACCTTGAGCGCGCCCGTGCCGAACTCGATGTCGACGTAGTCGTCGGCGAGGATCGGCACCGTGCGCCCGCCGGACATGGGCACGACGCACTCCTTGCCCACGAGGTGCGCGTAGCGGTCGTCGGCCGGGTTCACGCAGACCGCCGTGTCGCCGAGGATGGTCTCCGGCCGCGACGTCGCCACGGGCAGGAAGTCGTCGGAGCCCGCGACGCCGTACTTGAAGTAGTAGAGCAGGCCCTCGCGCTCCTCGAACTCGACCTCCAAGTCGGACACCGCGGTGCCCAGGTTCGGCGACCAGTTGACCATGCGGCTCCCGCGGTACACGAGCCCCTTCTCGTGGAGGCGCACGAAGGCCTCCGTGACGGCGCGGCTCATGTCGTCGTCGAGCGTGAACTTCTCGCGGCTCCAGTCCGCGGACGCGCCGAGGCGCCGCATCTGCGACGTGATCGCGCCGCCGTTCTCGTCCTTCCACCGCCAGACGCGCTCGAGGAACTTGTCGCGGCCGAGCTCCGCCCGCGTCGGCGAGCCCTCGCTCGCGAGCGCGCGCTCGACGAGGAGCTGCGTCGCGATGCCCGCGTGGTCCGTGCCGGGGAGCCAGAGCGTCGGCCGCCCGCGCGCGCGGTGGAACCGCGCGAGGATGTCCTGGAGCGCGACGAACATGGCGTGGCCGAGGTGGAGCCGCCCCGTGACGTTCGGCGGCGGCATGGGGCACGTGTACGCGCCGCGCGGGTGCTCGGCGTCGCTCGGCTCGAAGAGGCCCTGGGCCTCCCACCACGCGTAGAGCGACCCCTCCGTCGAGAAGTCGTACTTGCTCGGCAGGGCCTCGCCGGCGCCGAGGAAGGGCCGCACGGCGGGCTGGTCCAGCGTCGACGTGCGCCGCGGACCGAGCGACGGCCGCGGCGACCGCAGCGACGGCAGCCGGGCGCGCGCGCCGCCGCCGGACCGGAGCGCGCGGGCGCCGCGGGCGGCGAACGCGAGGAGCACCATCAGGCGCATCGGCTTTGCTTGGCTGCGGCAGCGGTGGTCGTGCGGGCGCGCGCGCTGCTACGGCTCGCTGTGCACAGGCTCTTCGTCAGCTCCCATGCGCGTGGGTTCAAGGCAAGGACGGCTTCACCGAAGCCTTCAACAATGCCCGAGCAGTTCGGCGAGCGCCCTCGAGGCGCCTCCGCAGGCACGCCGACGGCGTTGCGCTGGGACGACGCGCTGGGAGAGTCCAGGCTCAAGCATGGCCACCTACTACTTCGGATCCCTGGCGGGGAGCTCGACCCCGGGCCAGCATCGAGTTTAGCGAGCGCCCAGCCAGGAGGGAATGATGGTCGACGACTGGCGGGAGCCCGTACCAACGAGCGCCAAGCACGCCGTCGTGGTCGTCGCCGGCGACGTCGGCCGGTCGCCGCGCATGCAGTACCACGCGCTGTCGCTCGCGGAGCACGGCTACGCCGTGACGCTCGTGGGCTACGCCGGCGAGCTGTGCTGCGAGGCCGTCGTCGCCGAGGGCCGCATCCGCGAGGTGCGCGTCGGCGCCGTCGAGCTCCCGGCCTGGCTGCCGGGCCTCGTCGCCCGGGCGCTCAAGCTCGCGCTGCTCGTCGCGCGCCTCGGCCTCGCGGTCCGCGCCGCGCGGCGCGGCCGGCGGGCGGCGGTCGTGCTGTGCCAGACGCCGCCGGCGATCCCGTCGCTGGCCGTGTGCTGGTTCTGGGCCCGCGTCGACGGCGCGCGCGTCGTCGGCGACTGGCACAACCTCGGCTTCTCCGTCGTCGAGGACGGCGCGCGGCGCGCGCGGCGCGGCGCGCTCCGCGTCTCCGACCGGCTCGCCGTCGCCGCGTACCGCGCGCTCGAGCGGCGGAGCGCGGCGCTCCTCGACGGCCACGTCTGCGTGACGCGCGCCCTCGCCGCCTGGCTCAAGGCCCACTTTGCCGTCGACGCCGCGCCCGCGCACGACCGGCCGCCCGCGTTCTTCCGAAAGGTCGCGGCCCGGGCAGGAAAAAAAAAAATTCGACGCGACTTCTTCGAATGTTTCGACGCGAGCACTTCCGTCGTGCTTCGAGAACTCGACGAGAGTGATCGATTCGTCCAAAAATCGACCGAATCGACTTCGATGTGACCGAGCTCGAGAATGTCAAAGTTTGGTCGGGACGTCCCGAACCGGCGGTCGATGTCCACGCAGGTCGCGGCCGGGGACCGCGCGGCCGCGCTGCGGCGCGTCGGCGCCGCGGGCGTCTTCTCCAAGGCGACGGCGCGCGAGGCCGCCTTCTGGGGGGCCGCGGAGGACCTCGGCGACGCCGTCTGCGACGCCGGCGGCGCGCCGCGGCCGGCGCGGCCCGCCGTCGTCGTGAGCTCGACGTCCTGGTCCCCCGACGAGGACTTCACGGTGCTCGTCGACGCGCTCGCGGCCTACGACGCCTCGGCGGGGACGCCGCGCCTCGTCGTCGTCGTCACGGGCAAGGGGCCGCTGAAGGCGCGGTTCCTCGAGGCCGTCGAGGACCGGCGCTTCGCCAAGGTCGTCGCGAAGACCGCGTGGCTGCCGGCGGCGGACTACGCGGCGCTCCTCGGCGCCGCGGACCTCGGCGTCTGCCTCCACTCGTCGACGTCGGGCCTCGACCTGCCCATGAAAGTCGTGGACATGTTCGGCGCGGGGCTCCCGGTGGCGGCGCTCGCGTTCCCCTGCGTCGGCGAGCTCGTCGTCGACGGCGCCAACGGGGCCCTCTTCGCCGACGCGGCATCGCTCGCGGCCGCGCTCGCGGACCTCCTCGCGGACGTCGACGCCAACCCGCGCCTCGCGGCGCGCCGCGCGGGCGTCGACGTCGCCGAGCGGTGGGGCGCCATGTGGGCGCGCGCGGTCCTCCCCGTCGTCGGGGCGCCCTAAAGGTTCGATCAGCGGTATGCGTTGTTTTGCCCCATATACCATCACCAGCAGCCCGATTCAATATGGAACTAATGGATCGGACATGAAGCCGGTCAAGCCGGGAGCAATTGGCTGGCGCCTTCAAGTTGTCGACAACGTTGCTCTCCCGAGACTCGATCTTCTTCGAGCCGCAGCCTTGTGCACTTCCCACCGCGCGCGCGCTGCGTTCAGCCTTTCCAGCCGCCAACCATATACGCCTCGACGCACTTCGAGACGATCGGCGAGAAGCGCTTCGCCGAAGGCACGTGCGGGCGCGAAAGATCCGCCCGTTCCGGTCCGCACTCCCGAGGATATCCGGCGCTCTCGCACCGCTCTTCCGCTCGCGCGCGTCGCCGTCGCGCCGCTCTCGCGCGCGTCGCCGTCGCGCGTCGCTCGCGCCGCCGCTTGTGCCGCTCTCGCGCCGCCGCTCTCGCGCGCCCGCACGCCGCGCGCGCGCCGCAGGCACCGCACCGCTTCTCCACCATGGGCATCGCCGAGACCGTCGTCTACCTCACCGCGGGCTTCCTCTTCCTCCCCGCGGGCCGCGACGTGTTCGCCCAGGAGACGGCGATCATGCCCGGCGACGAGCACCTGCTCAAGGCCATGACGATGTCGAGCCCCAAGGGCCGCACGTTCATGTGGGGCCTCTGGGGCTCGAACTGGTGCTTCATCTCCCTGCTGAAGATCCTCACGGTCTCCGGCGCCTTCGACGTCGCCGTCTCCATCGACGTCCGGCTCTTCCTCGCCGCGGACCTCGTCGTGCTCTACTACCTCATCTCCCAGTACTCCACGCTCCTCTCGATCAAGGCCGACGTCACGGGCTTCACGGTCGTCTTCGCCCTCGAGACCGCGGCCTTTGCGGCCCTCGCCTTCGCCTAGGGCGCAGACGCGCGCGCGCGGCCTTTCGAAGAACGCCAAGGTTACTTGCCGCCGGCCTTCTTGCAGCAGTCCTTGGACCCCTGGCCGCAGACCATGCAGACGTAGTCCCGGGCGAAGGGGATGAAGGAGATCGTGTACCAGATCATGGCGATCCACTGGACGAAGACGCACATGATGATGATGCCGACGCGGCCGTCGTCGGGGATGCCGTGGTAGTAGCAGCAGAAGATGGTCATGATGATGGACGTAAAGTAGAAGAGCGTCGCGACGATGCGCGTCCGGTCCCACATGGCCTTGCACTGGGCCTTGGGCCCGCTCAGGAAGAGCGACCCCGCGATGCCCATCAAATTGCCGAGCGTGTAGAAGACGACGAACGGCGTCGGGTTGCCCTTGATGAGGTCCGCGAGCCGCACCCAGGACCCGATGCTCAGCACGAACGCGAGGCCGAAGCACGTGAGGTACCCGCCGATGCGCTGCTTGTAGGTCAGCTTCGGGCACAGCTCGCAGCAGGCCTCCTCCATCTCCTCCGCCGCCGTCTTCGGCTTCTCCTCGATGCCCATGGCGCTCTTGAACGCCTTCATGGCGCGGGTCGGCGGCGCGTACTCGCGGCGCGGCGGTCGCTGCGCGCTGCCGCCTGTCGCGGTACCTGCGCGCGCCAACGACGGCGCCCAAACTCTTGTGGCAGTGGCAAAACAGGCAGACAGAGCCCGCACCTTGCAGTCGTTGAATAGGTTAGGACGGACCGCGCCGGGCAGCCGTCAACCGTGACGGGCTCGACCATGCTCCTCTCCGCGAGCCTCGGGTCGCTGCCCGGGAAGAAGCCGCGCTACAGCGTCAAGCAGGCGCGGCTCAAGCTGCTGCGGGCGAAAGAAAAGCTCGAGCGCGAGGAGGGCGACCTCGGCGAGCTGCTCGCCTCGCCGGGCCCCGACGACGAGGCGTCGACGTCGCCCGTGGCGCGGCGGCCGCGGCGGGACCTGAGCCGGCGCGACTGGCCCGGCGAGAGCGTCGAGAGCCGGCCGAGCACGACGCTGAGCCGGTCCTCCGCGTCGCGTTCGGGGGGCGCGTCGCTGCTGCGGGACCTCGCGCGGTTCGACGAGCTCGACGGGCCGCCGCGCGCGCCGTCGCGCATGTCGACGGCGGGCCGGAGCCGCGGCGCGTCGCGGGCCGCGTCGCGGGCCGCGAGCCGCGCGGGCGCGACGCCGCTCGCGCCGCTCGCGTCGCTCGACGGGACCGCGCTGCCGTCCATCGGGTCCCGCGCGTCGACGGCCGCGTCGCCCGCGCGGCGCCTGCGGAGCTGGCCCGCCGTGGGACGGCCGCCGCGGCGGCGCTTCGACGCCGGCTCGTCGTCCGACGACGACGACAACAGCACAACCGCGGGCCCCGCGGCGCGGCGCGCGCGCGCGGCGCCGCCGCCCTTCGTCGCGCGAAAAGCGCGCGCGACGTCCCTCTTCAGCTGCGGGTCCCGGGAGGTGAGCGAGCTCGGCGCGGAGTACGACGACGACGACGGCGGCGGCTACGCGCCCTGGCTCGCCGCGCGCGACGTCGCCGTCGGCGACGCGTTCCTCGTAGCGGTCGCGTGCGGCGAGCGCGCGACGCTGGCCCTCGCCGCCGACGGGCGCGTCCACGGCTGGGGCGGCGGCGCCGTCTTCCGCGAGGCCGGCGCCGCCGCGGGCCGCGCGCGGAACGCGCCCGCGGACGTCGTCGCGCGGACGCTGGCGCCGCTCCGGAGCGCGCGCTTGATCGCCTGCGGGCCCAAGCACGCGCTCGTCGTCGTCGCCGACGGCGGCGTCTTCACCTGGGGCGCCGGCGCCCACGGGCGCCTCGGCCACGGCGACGGCGTGAGCCGCGTGGCGCCGACGCGCGTCGCGGAGGGCCTGCCCGACGCCGGCGTCGTTATAGTGGCGGCGTGCGGCGGCGCGCACTGCGCCGTCGTCGTCGCGGCCGAGGCCGGCGCGCCGACGGGGCGCCTCTACACCTGGGGCGACGGCCGCGGCGGCCAGCTCGGCCACGGCGACGGCGACGGCGACGGCGGGGCGGACGCGGCCCGCAAGGCCGCGGTGCCATCCCAAAAAGAGCTCCAGTGCGCGCGGCGCCCCGGCGAGGTCGCCTTCTTCCCGCGGCGCGACGCGACGGTGCGCCACGTCGCCTGCGGCCTCCACCACACGCTCGCCGTCGCCTGGGAGCCCAAGGCGGGCGCGTACGACGCGCCGGGCGACGCGATCGCGCTCACGGCGCGGCTCTACGCCTGGGGCTTCGGCGACGGCGGCCGCCTGGGCACGGGCGAGGTCTCGGGCGCCTGCCGCTTCCCCGCGCGCGTGCTCCTGCCCGTCGAGTACGGCTACGACGCGGCCGACGACGCGCCGCGGCCCCACGTCGTCGCGGCCGCCGCGGGCGACCAGCACTCGCTCGCGCTGCTCACGGACGGCCGCGTCTTCGCCTGGGGCAGCAACGCCTTCGGCCAGCTCGGCCTCGGCCGCGCGTCCGCGCAGGCCGTGCCCCTGCCCGAGCGCGTCGGCGGCGCGGGACGGCGCGGCAAGGTCGTCAAGATCGCCGCGGGCGCGCGCCACTCCGGCTGCGTCTCCGAGGACGGCGCGGTGCTCCTCTGGGGCTTCGGGGACGAGGGCCAGCTCGGCGCGGGGCCCGAGGCCGCGGAGCTCGAGCGGAGCCGCCGCGACGAGACCGCGACGCCCCTGCCCTGCGAGCTCGCGGCCGCGTCCGCGGGCGAGCGCGACCGCGACGGCGCGTACGCCTGGGCCCCCGAGGCGCCGGGCACGTGGGCCGCCGAGGCGCTCGCCCTCGGCGTGCGCCACACGGTCGTCCTCTGCCGCAACGCCAGGGCGGGCGTCACGAAGGGCGCGCTGGCGGACGCGTCGTTCGGCCGCGCGAGCGACGAGCCCGAGGTGTTGGAGAAGCCGCGGCCGCCGGCGCCGCCGCCGGCCGTCGACGACGCGCCGTCGTCGGACGACGAGGCGGCGGAGTTCTTCGCCGAAGCGCTCCCGCCCGTCGCGGTCGCCGTCGACGACGGGCCCCCGCGGCTCGACCGCGAGCTCATGCGCGAGCGCCTCGCGGAGCGGAAGGCGCGCCAGGACGAGGAGCGGCTCGCCCGGGAGGCGGAGATCGCCGCGGCCCACGCGGAGCGCGACGCCGCGAACCGGCGCTACGAGGCGCTCCTCGCGACGATGCGCAAGGTCAAGCCCTCCGCGGCCGTCGTCGTCGTCACGCCCGAGCCCGAGCCCGAGCCCGAGCCGGAGCCCGCGCCGCTCCCGGAGCTCCCGTCGCCGAAGAAGGTCACCTTCGGCGACATCTTCTACGACGACCGCGCCCAGGACGCCGAGGACATGTGGATCGGCAACGCCGCGCGCCGCGCGAAGTCGCGCGGCTCGTCGCGCGAGGCGAGGCTCCGGCCGTCGACGTCCGCGGTCCGCGCCAAGACGCCGGGGTCGTCGTCGCGGAAGCGGCGGCCCAAGACGACGGGCGGCGGCGCCGACGCCCCGGGCGCCGCGCGGCCGGACGACCGCGCCGCGCCCCCCGCGGCGGCCGACGCCGCCGCGGCGCCGCCGCCGCGCCGCGTCTCCTTCGAGCCCGCGGCCTCCTTCGACGGAGAGGCGGACGACCCCGTCGCGGCCTTCATGGGCCGCGCGGCGGCCGGCGCGTCCTACGTGACGGCGCCCGCGGACGCCGAGGCGGACGACGCCGGCGACGACCGCGAGGCGGACGACACCGGCGACGACGAGGACGCCGCGCCGCTGGACCCCGTCGCCGCCTTCATGGCGCGGTCCCTCGGCGGCGGCTACAAGACCTAAACATGTTAGTGCGCGCCGCGCTCGGCCGCGAGCGTCGCCTGGTCGACGGCGTCCGCGCGGCCGCCCTTGATGGTCCACCAGCCCGTGATGGCGAGGCGCGGCCGGTGGAGGACGCCGTCGCCGCCCTGCGGCCGCGCGGCCACCTCCGTGACGTGGTGCAGGAGCTGGATGACGCCCGTGCCCACGCGGAACGCCGCGAGCGAGTTGAAGGCCGGCGCGACGCTGTGGTTGCCCGCGGCGAAGGCGAGCGCGCCGCCGCCGGCCGGGTCCCAGTCCGGCGTGAGGTTCAGGACGAAGGCGACGTGGCCCAGGCCGCCGTCGACGTGGTTGCTCAGCCAGTCGCCGCCCGAGAACGCCGACGCGAACCAGTCCGTGAGGTCCTCGAGCTCGACGCCGACCGCGTCCTCGATCGCGCGGCGGACGGGCCCGGACGCGAGGTGGCCCGCGATGGCGCCGTGGGCCGGGTGGTCCCGGGCGAGCTCGTACTTGCTGTAGGAGAAGGACCCCTTGCAGAGGCTCGAAAAGGGCCGCTCCCGCGCGGCGGCGCCGAAGTCGTAGCGGTGCTTCGTGTTCGAGCACGCGCCGCGGCACGGGCGCCGCGCGTCGCGCGCCGCGGGCTCCTTGCAGTTCGTCGCGTACTGGAACTGCCGCGCGCTCCAGGCGCCGTGGAGCAGGCCGTGGAGCTCCTTCGCCGTCGCCGCGGGCAGGGCCGCGGCGACCTGGTGGACGCAGCCGCCGAACTGGCTCACGCCGCCGTGGGCCCGGACGGCCGCGGGCGCGCACCAGACGTCGGCGTCGGCCGGCGGCCGCCGCGCGTCGAGCCTCCCGTCGCCCGCCGCCCCAGAGAGCAGCGCGAGGAAAAGCAGCCCCGGTCGGGCCGCCGCCATCCGGCGGGCTGTGGTAGGGGCACGGTGGCTTCAGCTTTTATTCTGAACCAGCATCATGAACCAGCCGAAAACGTCGCGCCGCTGGACGGCGCATCTGGACTAGCAGCCCATGGCCGAATCGGGTCCGCCGCAGTACCACGCAGTCTACCTGGTGCCGTTCTGGGATGACTTCGTCTACGAGGACGACGACGACGACGACGACGACGATCACTGGGGGCACCAGGGCTACTGTCTCGTGGGCCCGTTCGGTGTCTACGAGGCTCGGGCCGACGCCGACCGCCAGGCGAAGGCCGTGAGCCGTCACGTCCTCGCCGTGCTCTCTGGTACCGACGGCATCGACTCGTCCTGGGCGCTCTCGCGCGCGCTGCCCGCAGACTGCGTCGCCCACGTGCGCTCGTTCGGAGAGGAGGCAGATTTTGTGCTGCGCGCGCTCGACCGCGCGTTCCACGCGAAGCTGCGCGCGTGCGCGGCAAGAATGCTCGAACCCAAGCGCGCCGAATACCTCGAAACTATTCGAAAGCGCGCGAAGTCGTTCAAGACTCTGCGAGGCGGCTCGAAGACGGCGGCGAACCGGAACGCGCAGAAGTTCTTTCGACAGGCTCTCCACAAGTCCGGCCTCTCCGATGATGATCCGGCCTCCGTGCCCGAGCGCTTGGAAGCATGGTTCGTCAGTCTGTCCGGCCGCGACCTCGCGCGGTTCCTGGGGCACGATAAGGTGTTCCAATGCGCAAAGAGCAAGTGGTCAGCGCGCTGTCACCAAATCACGCAGCGCGGCGGCGAGCTCCACTTCTGCGGCTCGCCGAAGCCCCTGATCTCGGTCGATGTCCAGTCCATCGACGCGCCTTCCGGAGCGGGCGCGACGCTCTACGCGATGGTCGGGCGTCGCGAGAGATGCTCGCAATCAGACTATTTTGACGAAGGAGCAGACGACGACATCCGCTGCGGAGTCCTTGGCCTCGCCTGGGAACCCGGCGACGTCTCGACCGCGCTCGTGCGCCATGTCGTAGAACTGTTGGAAGACTGGGAAATTTGTAAGGACGACACGCAGCAGTCGCTCTGGAAGACGGTTGGCGATGAAGACTTCGGCTTTTACGAAGAACCTGTGGACTCGAGCGTCCTCTTCGCCGACGCCCCTTTACCTCGGGCCTGCGCGTTCCGCGAGGCCATGAGAATCCACGACGACTCCGGCGCATTCGAAGGCTTTCAAACGCGAGATGCCGGCACGGTCGCGATGCCCGCCGCGCCCGTCGACACGGAGCGCGGCGACGCACCGTATGATACTGATCATCAGTATTTCATTCACGCGACGCGCCTCGACGGGGCGGGCTTGCCCGTCGCCCGGGGTTTCGTGGTGACCGAGCAAGATCACCAGACATGCACCGACAACCTCATCGTGTGGCCGGAGGCCGTGCCCTTCCACCGAGCGACGCCCGCGCCGGCTTAAGCGGCCTCAGACGTGGCGGTGGGCCTTGCCGCTGTGCGTGTGGTGGAGCTGGGAGCCGGACGCGTGGGCGTCGTGGTGGTGGTCGACGGCGATGGGCGGGAGCGTCTTGTGCGTCTCGAAGGGGTTGGCGGCGATGGGGTCGGACTCGGCGACCATGAGGGGCACGGCGTAGCCCTGGTACTTGCGCGGCCCGCGCGGGTTCTTGGGGTCGAGGGGGTCGTCCTTCTCGAAGACGGGCAGGTAGGCCCACTTGCCCTCGACGGCGATCTTGACCTCGGCGCCGCCGTCGCCGGGCGGCGCGCCGAGGAGCTTGCTCGGGTCGGCGGTGAAGTCCTCGGTCCACGTCTTCTCGGGCACGGCGGCGTCGGCGCCCTCGGCCCAGTAGGGCACGGCGACCGCCGGGTCGACGCTTTGGACCGCCGCCTCGAGGAGCGTCGCGAAGGCCGCGTAGTTCGACGCGAGCGCGACGTGCGCGGCGCCGTGGCCCGTCGCGTCGAGCGCCGTCGCCGGGTGCGCCAGGCCGCCGTCGCCGCGCCGGGCCAGCGCGAGCGCGGCCGTCGCGTCCGACGCCGGCGCCGCGGCGCCGTCGCCGCCCGCGGCGGCGAGGAGGTCGCGCTCGCGCGCGGCGCCGACGAGCCGGCGCCCGAGCGCGTCCCAGTCGTTGCCGTCGGCGCGGACGTCGAGGCGGTGGCCCTGGTAGCCCCGCGTCTCCGTCGGCACGCGGTGCGGCTCCGACTTGGCGAGCAGGTCCTCGGCGTCGTCGCCGCCGAGCGCGCCCGACTGGAGCACGTGGCCCGCGCCGTCGCCGCCGAGGAGCGCGTGCGCGGCCCAGAGCTCGTCCATGGTCCGGAACTGGTCGCCGTAGATGTCGCGGCCCGCGGCCGCGGAAGTGTTGTAGAGCACGGACACGGCCCGTAGGAACCGCGACCGGTCGCCGGGCTTCATCTCCGTCGCCGCGCGCCGCGCGAAGCGCACGTCGACGGCGAAGACGGCGCGCCGCGACTCGTCGCCGGCGACGGAGACGACGAGCGTGTAGGCCCCGGGCTCCGTCACCGTGTCGTTCGCGACGACCGCGCGCCGGCCGGACCCGAGCGCGACGGGCGCCGCGCACGCGCCGTCCCCGTGGTCGTGGGCGTCCTCGGCGTGGACGTGCGTCGACCCGTCGTGCGTGTGTTCGCCGGTCGCCGCTTCGTGCGCGTGGCCGTGCGTGTGGCAGTCGCCGTCGTGGCAGTGGCCGTCGTCCTCGAGCGCGCGGCCGTGGTCGTGCTCGTCCTCGGCGTGGACGTGCGTGGACCTGTCGTGCATGTGCTCGCCCGCGGCCGCCTCGTGCGCGTGGTCGTGCGTGTGCTCGTCCTCGGCGTGGACGTGCGTCGTCCCGTCGTGGGTGTGCTCGCCCGCGGCCGCCTCGTGCGCGTGGTCGTGCGTGTGCTTGTCCTCGGCGTGGACGTGAGTGGACCCGTCGTGGGTGTGCTCGCCCGTCGCCGCCTCGTGGGCGCGGCCGTGCGTGTGCTTGTCCTCGGCGTGGACGTGCGTCGTCCCGTCGTGGGTGTGCTCGCCCGTCGCCGCCTCGTGGGCGTGGTCGTGCGTGTGCTTGTCCTCGGCGTGGACGTGAGTGGTCCCGTCGTGGGTGTGCTCGCCCGTCGCCGCCTCGTGGGCGTGGTCGTGCGTGTGCTTGTCCTCGGCGTGGACGTGCGTCGTCCCGTCGTGGGTGTGCTCGCCCGTCGCCGCCTCGTGGGCGTGGTCGTGCGTGTGGCAGTCGCCGTCGTGGCAGTGGCCGTCGTCGTCGTGGTCGTGGCCGTGGTCGTGGCCGCGGACCTCCGGCGTCTTCTGCAGCGTGAAGACGAACGCGGGCCCGCCGTCGGGGCCGGCCTCGGCGCCCTCGGCGGCGGCGATCTTGTCCGCGAGCTGCCGGCGCTGGCCGAGCATCCACTTCCGCCGGTCCGGCGGCAGGTCCTGCGTTAAAGAGTGCGCGACGGCCTCGAGGTCGCTCCGCAGCGCGAGCGAGTTGGCGCCCGGCGCGGACTGGGCGGCGAGGTCCTCGGCGCCGAGGGCCGCGATGACGACCGTCTCGCGGTAGGGCTCGAGGACGCAGGCGCCGGCGTCGCAGGCCGCGGCGCCGTAGGCGTTTTTCAGCACGAGGCCCAGCGACTCCAGCGACACGTGGTCGTGGGCGTCGCCGGCGGCGCCGTGGCCGGCGTGCGCCGCGACGGCGGCGACGACGGCGAGCGTCCGCAGCAGCAAAACCGGGACCATTGCAGTACTGCTACCTCTAGACGGCGAGGCGCTTCTCGAAGCCGCCGACTCGCGGCATGCGCCAGCGCGTGTCAAAGTGTTCAAGTTTGACTCAACTTTGAGTCAATGTGTCCGGCGCTGCTCGGTCCAGATGGTTCCCTCCGCGGGCCTGCCTCCCCTCCCCGGACGGACGCAGTCGAGCGCGCATCCCCCTCAATAACTAGTCCAATGCATGTGCCTTTTTTTGACTCGTCCGTCGGCGCCGTCGAGGCGCGCCTCGAGGCACGCCATCGCTCCCCGCCAACAAAGCGGGTCCCACAACGGGGCTTCTTATCGACAAACAGGGGGGGGGGGCACAGGGGGGGGGGGGGCGCGGCCGCTTCTCGGCTTCCGGCGTGTCGCCGTCAGCGGGGGACGCGGTCCGCGGCGCCGTCGTCGCGGGCCGCGACGCCGACCTCGCGATTCTCGAGCTCCGGCGTGACCTCGTGGGCCGGCGACGCGGTGCCGTCCTTGGCCGCGGCCTCGAGCGTCGCCGCGACGCCGTCGTGGCCGTTGTCCGCGGCGAGCGCGGCGGGCGGCCGGCCCCGCCAGGGCCGGCCCGGGTCCGCGCCCGCGCGGAGGAGGATCGCGACCGTCGTCGCGCGGCCCGCGGCCGCGGCCGCGTGGAGCGGCGACGCGCCCGAGTCGTCGGCCGCGTCGGCGTCGGCGTCGGCGGCGAGGAGCGTGCCGAGCGCGGCCGCGTGGCCGTAGGCCGCGGCCGCGAAGGCCGGCGTCGCGCCGCGGTCGTTGCGCCGGTTGAGGTCCGCCTTGGCGAGCGCGAGGATGCGGAGCGCGCGCGCGTGGCCGTTGTGCGCGGCCATGAAGGCCGGCGCGGCGCCGTTCGCCGGGTACGCGCGGTCGCCGTCGGCGCCGGCCTTGAGGAGCTGCTCCAGTAATGGCGCGTGGCCCTGCTGCGCGGCGATGAGGCACGGCGTGCAGCCGTCGCCCGCGGCGCGATCCGGGTCCGCGCCCGCGACGAGCAGCGCGCGGAGCGCGTCGCCGTGGCCGTTCTGCGCGGCCGCGAGGCACGCGGTCCAGCCCGAGTCGTCGGCCGCGTCCGCGTCCGCGCCGCGGCGGAGGAGCGCCGCGCAGCACCGCGCGTGGCCCATTTGGGCGGCGATGATCAAGGGCGTACTCCCGGCGCCGCCAGCGCGGCGCCGCGGGTCCGCGCCCGCGTCGAGGAGCAGCTCGACGCACGCGACGTGGTCGTTCTGCGCCGCGATGTAGAGCGGGGACGCGCCGCCGGTGCGAGCCGCGTCGACGTCGCAGCCGAACTCAAGGAGCGTCCGGAGCACGTCCGCGTCGCCGTGCCACGCGGCGACGAAGCAGGCCGACGTGCCGTCCCTCGCGCGCCGGTTCGCGTCGCAGCCGTAGCCGAGAAGCAACCGCGCGACCTTGGCGCGGCCGTTGAACGCGGCGACGAGCAGCGGCGTCGCGCCGTCCGCGGGCAGCGTCGCGTCGGCGTCGCAGCCCGCGCTCAGCAGCAGCTCCAACGCCTCGGCGTGGCCCTGGTAGGCTGCCGCGTAGGCCGGCGTGACGCCGTCGTCGCGCGCGACGGACACGTCCGCGCCGCCCATGAGCAGCGCGCTCAGCGCGTCGCTGTGGCCGTGGATAGCGGCCGCGAGCACCGGCGGCGACCCGTCCGCGGCCCGCAGCTCGACGTCGCCGCCGGCCTCGACGAGCGCCTCGACGACGGTAGCGACGCCGTGCTCCGCGGCGACGTGGAGCGGCGTCCGGCCCTCGGGGTCCCTCGCGTTGACGTCGACGCCGTCGACGGCTAGAAGCCGCGTCACGTGGACCATGCGGTTGCTCGTGCACTCGCGGAGCAGGCGCTGCGCCGCCTCCGCGGCGTCGATAGACACGGGGATGTAGCCCTCCTGCTGCAGGTTGATGGCCGTCGTGGCCATGGTTTTTTTCGCGTGTTTTCGCGCGGCGGGGTGGTGGAGAGGTTTCTCGGGGCCGGGCCGCGGCCGCGCGCGGTTTTTTTCGGTGCGGTGCGTTCAGGGGGGTGCGCGGCAATTGGCCGCGCCTCGGGGGGGGCGGTCGCGGCGGCGCGGCCGCCAGATGGCGCACTCTCGCGGGTTGAGGCAAAAGTGGGCACTCGGCCAGCAGGGCGGCTGTGCAGATCACAAATCGTGCGACGAGCTTCAAGGCGGTCAAAGGGGTTTGGTTGCCGCGCCGCCGGCCGGACCTACGTGAGGGACCAATCGCGCCTGGCGCTGGCGAGCCACTCACTAGTGCCACTAGTGCGAGCGCGGCTCGGTCCGCGCCCTGGGTTCGTCTATTTGGCTGCAGCTCCTGCGCCGTCCGAGCGAGTCGCGGCCTCCGCCTCCCGCTTGTGCGACCCCGTCGGGTCGCCGCCCCAACCGACGCGCGAACGGACTCCGTCACGCAGCGTGCAGCGCCCGAGCCAGGGAGGGGCGAGCACGCCGACGATTTGGACGACGTTGAAGCTATGATGAAGTTGCTACTGCGACTCGGCAATTACCCCATCTCGATTGCCGCTTCGCTGGCGCCAAGGAAGGCGTCCACCAGCGCCGAACGCGTCGCGCACATCGCGACAGCCGTCGCCTCGCCGCCGCGCGACGCGCGTCGCATCGCCGCCGCCAAAAAACCGCGCCTCCCCAGGTACCGCGTCCATCATCAAGTTCATCAGCCTCATCGCCGCCGCGGCGTCGACACCGAAGCCCTCGGTCACTCCCGACATGTCTGCCATGGCGATCAAGACCCACCCGGGCCTCAAGACGCTCGAGGAGGTCGACTCCGAGATGTACGAGCTCATCGAGCAGGAGAAGCGCCGCCAGTTCACGTCGATCGAGCTCATCGCGTCGGAGAACTTCGCGTCGCGCGCGATCATGGACTGCCTCGGCTCGTGCCTCACGAACAAGTACGCCGAGGGCCTCCCGGGCAAGCGCTACTACGGCGGCAACGAGATCATCGACCAGATCGAGAACATGTGCAAGTCGCGCGCGCTCGAGGCCTACCGCCTCAAGACCGACGAGTGGGGCGTGAACGTGCAGCCCTACTCGGGGTCGCCGGCGAACTTCGCCGTCTACACGGGCCTGCTCCAGCCCCACGACCGCATCATGGGCCTCGACCTGCCCAGCGGCGGCCACCTCACGCACGGCTTCTACACGCTCGACAAGAAGACGATGAGCCGCAAGCCCGTGAGCGCGACGTCCGTCTACTTCGAGAGCCTGCCCTACAAGGTGCACCAGACGACGGGCCTCGTCGACTTCGACGAGCTCGCGAAGATGGCGGCCATCTTCAAGCCCGCGCTCATCGTCTGCGGCGGCTCGGCGTACCCGCGCGACTGGGACTACGCCAAGTTCCGTGAGATCGCGGACGCGAACGGGTCGCTGCTCATGATGGACATGGCCCACATCTCGGGCCTCGTCGCGACGCAGGAGGCCAACGACCCCTTCCAGTACTGCGACATCGTGACGACGACGACGCACAAGTCGCTCCGCGGCCCGCGGTCGGGCATCATCTTCTTCAAGAAGGACGCGCGCGGCTTCGAGGACAAGATCAACAACGCCGTCTTCCCGGCCCTCCAGGGCGGGCCCCACGAGCACCAGATCGCCGGCGTCGCCGTCCAGCTCAAGGAGACGACGAAGCCCGAGTTCAAGGGCTACGTGCAGCAGGTGAAGAAGAACATCAAGGCCATGGCCGCCAAGCTCGTGGACCAGTACGGCTACGCGCTCGCGACGGGCGGCACGGACAACCACCTGCTCCTCTGGGACCTGCGCCCCGCGGGCATCACGGGCTCCAAGGTCGAGAAGATCTGCGACGTCGTCCAGATCACGCTCAACAAGAACGCGGTGCCCGGCGACGTCTCCGCGCTCTCGCCCGGCGGCGTCCGCATCGGCGCGCCGGCCATGACGACGCGGGGCCTCGTCGAGAAGGACTTCGAGGCCGTCGCGGACCTCCTCCACGAGGCCGTGCAGCTCGCGCTCAAGATCCAGGCCGCCGCGCCCTCGAAGAAGCTCGTCGACTTCTCCAAGGCCCTCGAGGGCAACGCGGAGGTCGACGCGCTCCGCGAGAAGGTCAAGGGCTTCGCGTCGTCCTTCGGCATGCCCGGCCGCCCCTTCGGCAAGTACAACCCCGAGCCGTGAGGCCGCGCCCCCCCGAACCGCGCCCGCCACCGACCGCCCCCGTCCTCCCCGCGGGCCATCGCGCCGGCCGCCCCCCCGCCCCGCCCCGTGCCCTAAACGCCGCAGCCGCTACGGGTCCCCCCGGCCGGCGGCCGCGCACGCGTCCCGCGCGCGCTTGTAGATCGCGTTGCAGTCCGTCGGCGCCGCGGGCACGCGCGCCGCGTCGAGGCGCCGCATGTGGCCCGGCCCGCCCGGCCAGGACTTGAAGAAGCTCTCGGCCGCGGGCGCGACGGCGACGAGGTCCAGCGCGCTGCAGTTCGCGGCGCGGAAGAGCCGCGCGCGCGCGCAGGGGTCGTCGAGGACGGCGCCGAGCGAGAAGCGGGCCCGGAGCCGGTCGAAAAGCGCCCCGAAGTAGGCCGCGATGCCCTTGCCGGAGACGACGCGGTCGTCGATCTCCTTGGCGCGCACGCGGAGCGCCGTCCGGTTCGCGTCCGGTAAGGCGTCGATTGCGTCGAGCGCCGCGAGGAGCGAGCTCTTGTTCACGGCGAGGTGCGTCTCGCCGTGGGCGAGGAGCGGGTAGTACCACTCGACGTAGTTCGCCTCCCAGAGGAGCACGACGGCGCCCAGCGCCCACAGGTGGTTCAGGTTCCGCGAGTACGAACCCGTCGTCTTCCCGGGCAGGTTGAGCACCTTCTGGTACCGCGTGTACTCGGGCAGGTCCACGAAGCCGCCGCGGTCCACGAGGTCCTTGGGCCGGTTTGCGGCGCGCGCCATGTCGCCGTCGTAGGGGTACGCGGCGCACGGGTGCCGCGCGGCGTCGCGCGGGCGGCAGCTGTGGCGCGAGACGCACCGGACGTCGACGCGGGCCGGCGCCGCGAGCGTCAGCGACGCGGCCTGGAGCCGCGCGTAGTTGCCGCCCTCCTCGGCGCAGAAGAAGGCCGCGCGCTCCGCGGCGGTGCCGTGGTCCGCGCGCGTCTCGACGTCCGAATCGTGGCTCGCGATCTCGCCGCGCCAGAAGACGCGGCCGTCGCGGCCGCCGTAGGGCCGCGCGTGCGCCTTGGCCAGGATCCGCCGCCGCTCTTCGTCCCAGGCGCGCAGGTCGAGGAAGTAGGGGTTGGGCGCGAGCACGCCGGCGTCGCCGTAGCCGTCGTATTTCGCGATGACGAGCACGGGGTGGCGCGCGAGCGCGTCGCCCTTGTTGTAGCCCTCGGCGCCGTAGATGAAGCGGTAGACGACATTCGGCGGGTCGACGCCCAGCGCCGCGAGGGACCCGACCATGGCGACGTGCTTGTTGTTCTTGTCCGTCGCGAGGAACCGTCTGTCGCAGTAGACGACGCCGTCGAGGACGAAGAGCGTGTTGTGGTAGCTGTGCTCCGGCCGCTCGATGAGGTCCTTGAGGTAGGCGAACGCGGCGTCCGCACTCTCCACGGCCGCGTAGCGCTCCAGCGACCGGTCGAGCTCGGCGTACATGGCACGAGTGCTGAAGGGCGACGCGACGCGCGCCGCGGCGGCGAGCCAGAGCCACGGCGCGGCGCGCGACGCCGCGGGCCGCATCGTCTCGAATGCGAGACCGTTTCAGGCGAGCGCCGGGAGGCAGCGCTCAGGCATCGATCGCAGAGCGGCGCATCATCTCAATATTTTTGCGCGCGTTTGACATTCTGGTCGCTTCAAGTTACCAAGTTTTACCGGACCAATGCACTGGGAATGCTTATGCGCAGCGCTCCAAGCAAACATCAGGAGCTGTCCGATGGAGCCTGTGCGGAGCCCTAGGCCTTGTGCGTGCTTAGAAACGCTGCCCAAGTAGGCCTTGCGCGCCGGCGAGCTGGGACCCCATGTCCAAGGTACATGCCGCGCCCGAAGGTGGGCAGTGCGGCACCTCGCTCGTTCAAATCTATGAGATGGTCAAAAGCCAGCTCGACCTCGAGGGCAACATGCCCGACGTCTTTTCGCGTGCGTGCGTCATGCTGGGCGTGTCGGCGGAGGGCCCGATCCTGGACCAGGCGGCGCGATGCCGGGCGGCGCTCCTCGGCGGCGGGTCGCGGCCGCGGCCCGCACCAGAGGACGTCGCGGAGGAGGCGCTTGTGTTGCATGTAGAGGGGCGCGTGTTGCATGTAGAGGCGCCTGTGCTCCCCGCGGTCACAAAGGTCGCGGGCGTGGCGGCGCCACAGCACGAGGAGATGGCGCGCGAGGCGACGGCGCGCGGCGACTCGAACGTCGTCGCGCGGCCGAAGGTCCAGGCGCACGCCGAGGCGCAGAGCCTCCTCGATCCCAAGGCCGTGCCGCTGGAAAATTTTATCGGGTCGAAAATAGTGATCGTTCGGCGCGGAGAGCCCGGAACGATTCACTTCGACATCCCGGAGGAGCTAAGGGCGGCGGGTGATCGCGAGTACCATTTCAAGTTGACAAGCGGTTCGGTTGGTATAGCCTACGAGGGTCCAATCAGCACGCATTACTTGGGATTCGGCGATAATCAGCGACGCATGCCTGGCACGATCAAATTGGTGGCCGCCGAAGCAGCAACCCCGATGCGAGTAGTTCGCCGGCGATACATCGGTCTCGCAGGTGAGGAACCTCCCATCGTCTTCGAACCTAACGGTGCCGCGATGCATCATGGGAATGGTCTCATGTTGATTGGTTCCAAAACAGCCGATGCGAGCTACGCCTTTGATCACCGTCAATGGACTATCAACGATGATGGCACCATCTCCCTCACGAAAAAACCTGAGATGGTCATCGGCCATGAACTGCCCAGGGATGACAAGCAGTCATCGCCTGATTTTGTTGGCAAGATGAGCACAACCTCGCTGGAGGGCGGCTGGTGCAAGGTTGAATTTTGCACCTGTCTACCCTGTATTCTTACAGGGGTCCAGTGGAAAAGCTATAACAACAAAGCTCTCGGCCCGGATGTCATCGAAACGACGGGTCGTACTTGTTCCTTACTGTGCCTTCCTTTTTCCCTTTTCCCGAATCCATACCGCGAGCGCCGAGTGCGCGTCCCAATGACGAACACCTTCATGCACGATACAAACACCAGAGACGTGCTCCTCTATGACTCGTCTTGCTTTAACGGAAAGTGGTGTGCCAATGACTGTTTTCACTACTGCACCTTTCGCCTCTCGCCGCGATGCTGATGGAAGATCTATTTAATCCGAGTCGGATCGAAAATAATGGTCGCGGGCGCGGGCGCCCGCGCCCCTTCCTAACTAGCAGCCGGCGCGTAATCGAGGTAGAAGCCCGTCTCGGGTCGGGGCACTGGCAGCTGGGGCCGGTCCGGCGGCGTCCGCGGCCCCGCCCGCAGCCGCGCGAGCTCGCGCTTCAGCGCGGCCTCGCGGCGCTCGAGGTCGCGGCGCGCCGTCGCGGCCGCGCCGGGCCTGACGGCGGCCGCGACGGCGGCCTCGGCGACGACGTCGCCCGCGCGGTCAAAGTCGGCGACGAGCGCGCCGAGGTCGTCGTCGCCCCCGCCGAGCGTCGCCGCGTCGCCGAAGCAGAGGAGCAGCGACCGCGCGCGCGTGATCGCGACGTTGAGCCGGCGGAAGTCGCCGAGGAAGCCCCGGCGGCCCTCGGCGTTCGCGCGGACGCAGCTCACGAGGACGACGTCGGCCTCGGAGCCCTGGGCCGCGTCGACGGTCGACACGCGGCAGCCCGAGCCCGCGAGCGCCGCCGCGAGGAGCGCGCGCTGCCCCGCGTAGAACGTGAGCACGGCCACGGACGCGCCCGTCGCGGCGGCGGCGCGGCCCGCGGCGGCGACGAGCGCGGCCTCGCGCGGGTTCGCGAGCGCCGCGCCGTCGCGCCGCTCCGCGCCGGACGCGACGTCGACGAGCGCGCGCCGCGCGCCGGACGCGAGGCCGAGCGCGCGCGCCGCGGCCGCCGCGACGTCGCCGTCGCCGGGCCGCGCGCCCGTCCGGAGCCGGCCGCCGTACCAGCGGCCGCTCGGGAAGGCCGCGATGGCCGGGTCCATGCGGTACTGGATCTCGAGCATCGCGGGTTCGGGCCAGGCGCCGCGCCGCGCGGCCGCGAGGCGGGAGAGCATGGACCGGTCGAAGCCCGCGCGCACCGCCAGGGGCGAGACGACCGTCGCGGGCAGCTGGCACTGGTCGCCGACGAGGAGCAGCCGGCCGCTCCACGCGAGGTTCTGGAGGCAGGCGAGCGTCTCCGCCTCGACCGACTGCGCCGCCTCGTCGACGACGGCGACGTCGAAGGCCCCGCTCCGCCGCACGAGCGACGACCCGCACGTGCCGAGCGTCGCGAAGACGACGCGCGACCCCTCGACGAACTCGCGCGCGAGGTCCGCGCCGCGCGCGCGCCGGACCGCGTCGTCGTGGACGTCGTGCGCCGCGCACCACCGCGGCGCGACGCGCCGGAGCCAGCCCGGGTCCTCGTCGCCCGCGCGGACGCGCGCCGCGAAGGCGTCGCCGACGGTGTAGGCGAACCGCGCCGCGCGCGCGGCCGGCGCCGCCTCGTCGTCGACGAGCGACGCGCGGACGCCGACCAGCGCGGCGTCGAGCGCCGGGCAGCCGCGGAGCACGCGGTCGAAGGTCACGGTCACGGCCCGGTTCGACGGCGCGGCCACGAGCACGCGGTAGCCCCGCGCGGCGAGGCGCAGCACCGCGGCCGCGACGAAGGTCGTCTTGCCCGTGCCCGGCGGGCCCTGGACGACGGCGACGGCGCCGTCGTCGACCGCGGCCAGCGCGCGCGCCTGCGACTCGTTGAGGGCCGCGGCCGCCGCGGCCGCCGCCGCCGCGACCGCGTCGTCCTCGACGGCGCGCGCCCCCTCCTCCTCCTCCTCGACGGCGCGCGCTTCCTCATCCTCCTCGACGGCGAAGCCGTCGCGCGTGACGAACGCGTCCTCGATGTCGTCGGCGAGCTCGTCGCCTCCGAACGCGCCGCCGCCGCCGCCGTCGTCGTCGGCGAAGCGGACGTGCGTCGCCGCGCGGCCCGTCACGAGGCCGTCGAGGAACCGCGGCCAGTGCCTCCGCGCGAGCGCCGCGTCGACGCGCTCCGCGGGGAGGCTCGCGCCCGCGTCGCGGCAGCGCCAGCCGTCGCCGACGAGGTCGTCCCAGGCGTCGCAGAACCAGAGGCTCGCCGCGAGGACGGAGACGGCGCGCGTCCCGGGCGCCGTCTCCGCGACGACGCGGCCCGCCGTCGCGACGGCGTCGCGGCCCCGGCGGAGCGCGACGAGCGACCCGGGCCGCGCGTCGCCGAGGCCCGCGACCTCGAGCGCGGCCTGGGCAGGACAAGAGTGCGAAATTCCCAACTTCAAAGGCTCCTCTCTCGGCCGGTTTCCACTCGTTTCGGCTGATTTTTGGACGAGCGATCATCTCTCGGAACGGTCTCGAAGCGTGGATGCTTTTCCTGGAACGCGCGCGCGCGGAACACTCACGTTGAAGCGACGTTGAATCACTCTTGTCCTGCCCTGAGCGCGGCGAGCTCTCCGTCCTTGGCGTCGGGGCCGGCGGCGACGACGGCGCACGGCCGCTCGCCGCCGGCCCGGAGCGCCTGCGCCATGGCCGCGCGCGCCTCCTCGTAGACGCCGGGCCGGAACGACGCGGTGTAGGCGGCGACGGTCGGCCACGTCTCCGGCAGCGGCGCGACGGGCGCGAGCCCGAGGCGCGACCGGCTCTCCGCGGCCGGCGCGGCGACGTCGTCCAGCGGCCAGCGCAGGACCCAGTGCTTGAGGTCCGCCGGCGGCGCCTTCGCCCGCCGCTTCCCGCCGCCGCCGCCGCCGCCGCGCCGCGCCGCGCGCCGCGCCCGCTCCGCGCCGCCGAGGAGCGCCTCGTCCTCGTCCCCGTCCTTGCGCTTCTTGCGCTTCGGCATGTGGCGCCGCGAGCCTTTAGCTCCGTCGAGCGCCGCGCATCTACGAGCAAACGCCTTCTACGAGCAGGCGCCTCGAGCTAGCAGCCGTGTCGTCGTGCGGCAGGAGTCACGGCTAGCCAGTCGCCCCCGCCGGGTCGACGCTGCAGTAAAGATGCTTTGCGCAGCCCCCATATGCATCGATGATGGCGCCGTGCGGATCCTCGTGCTTGTCTCCTAGCCTAGCCTCGCGCAGCCCACGGTGATCGATGACGATGGCGGCCGCGCGGATCCTCGTGCTTGTCGTCGCCGCAACCATGGCCGAGGAGGGCTTCCGGCTGCACCGCGGCCCGCGCCACGCCGCGCTCTACGGCGAGTACCGCGCCGCGCGCCGGCGCTGCGACGCGCGGCGCCTCTGGCGCCCCAAGGTCGACGTCTGGCGGAACACGACCTTCGCGCGGCAGCCCGGCTGGCTCTACCGCTACCACAACGACACGCCGTCCTGGCAGGGGTGCGCCTACGGCGGCGACCGCGTGGCCGTCGCGCCCTGGGCCGAGAACCTCGGCGCGCGCGGCGTCCGCTTCTGGCGGCTCCTCGTGGCGGCGAACGGGCACGAGCACCGCTGCGCGGCGCGGCGCTACGCGCCGCGCGTCGTCGACCCGGCGGGCGACCCGAGGGGCCCGGCCCGCGGCCGCTGGGCGGCGCCGCGGCTCGAGGAGTGCGCCGTGGCCGTCGCGGGCGCCGCGGGCGCCGAGGGGAACACGACGTGGACGTTCCAGCGCCTCGCGCCGCTCGTGGGCGTCGGCGGCTACGACTGGCACGGCGTGGCCTGGGACGGCGTCGCGGACTTTGGGCCCGCGGACGTCGACGCGTGGTTCGTCGGCGCCGTCGCCGAGGACGGCGCCGCGCTCGGCTTCCCGCCCGTCCACGTGCACCACGCGCACGCGCGGCGGCGGTCCGACGCGCGCGGCGAGGCCGACGCGGTCCCCGGCGGCGCCGAGGCGTCGGGCCCGCTCGTCTTCGAGGCGCACGCGGACAGCAACTGCGCCGGCGGCGCGGGCGCGAAGCCGCTCGGCGCGCCGGGCGACGGCGGCGCGGGCTGCTTCCTGCGGGCGCTGCCGTCCGGCGTCGCCGTCAAGGTCGACGCGCGCCTCTTCTTCGACGCGCACCTCAACGACGCGCGGCCGCGGGACAGACTCCGGCCGCTGCGCTTCGGCGCCGAGGTCGCGCTGCGCTGGCACCCGCGGGACCGGCCCCGGCGGGCCGCGGCGCTCGCGACCCTCGGCAACTTCGGCGCGCCGCACGACGGCGACGCCGTCGGCGAGCTCCGGTTCACGCTCGCGCACGGGCGGACGGACGCGCCCGCGGTCTACGCCGTCGCCGGCGTCGTCGGCGGCAACGTGTTTCGGGGCGCGGGCGGCGCCGCGGAGGTGCTCGACGCGCACGTGCACACGCACCAGCGCTTCGCGGTGTGGAAATCAACCACCGGTTCGGGACGTCCCGACCAAACTTTGAAATTCTCTAGCTCGGCCAAAACGAAGTCGATTCGGCTGATTTTTGGACGGATCGATTGCTCTCAGCAAGGTCTCGAAGCACGGTCGAAGCGCTTGCATCGAAACTGTCGCATACGCGCACATTGAAGTCGGGTTGAATATTTGATTTCCACACAGGCGCTTCGCGGCGAGCGCGTACGTCCTCGCGGGCGGCGATCGAAAACTTCCCCTACGTGCCGCCGCTCCCGGCGCCCTACGCGCCGGCCGTCGTCGACCGGCCCGCGCTCGACGCGCTCCGCGCGAGGCTCCTCGCGGAGCCGGCGCTGCGCTTCGCGTCGTCGCGGCCGGGCCTCGACGTCGTCGCCGCGGGCGACGGCGCGGCGCCGGGCGTCTACGACCGCCACGCGGAGCTCGGCCGCGCGCCGGGCGCCCCGTGGGTGCTGGCGGACGGCGACCGCGTCACGGCCGTCTTCCTCGACGACTACGGCGCCGCGGCCGCGGCCGCGGGCCGGGCGCCGGCGCCGGGCGACTTCTCCGCGTCGATGGCGGGCCTCGTCGCCGGCGACGCCGCCGTGTCGCCCCAGCACTACATCCTGCGGCTCACGCTCGCGGCGCTCGAGGGCGAAGCCGGGTCGGGCCCGCTGCGCCGCTGCTGCGTGCAAATCAACCGCCGGTTCGGGACGTCCCGGCCAAACTCTCGAGCTCGGTCACATCGACGTCGATTCGGCCGATTTTTGGACGGATCGAGTGCTCTTATCGAGTTCTCGAAGCACAGCGGATGTGTCAAAACATTCGAATACGCTCACATTGAAGTCGAGTTGAAGATTTGATTTCCACGCAGGCGCTGCTGCTGCGTGCCCGTGGAGTTGAGCGTCGCCGCGGACCCGGCCGGCGCCTACTACGCGGCCATGGCGCGCGCGCGCGAGTTCGCCGCGACGCTCACGGCGGAGGGCCAGGCCCGCGCGCGGGCGCTGCCCCTGCCCCACCGGCCGTCCAACGCCATGGGCGCGCACCCGGGCGCGGAGGTCGCGGCCAGGGCAGCAAAAGAGAGCGAAATTCCCAACTTCAAAGGCTCCTATCTCGGTCGTTTTCCACTCGCTGCGGCTGATTTTTGGACGAGCGATCATCTCTCGGAACGATCTCGAAGCGTGGATGTGTTTTTCGTAACGCGCGCGCGCGGAACACTCACGTTGAAGCGACGTTGAATCTCTCTTGTCCTGCCCAGGTCGCGGCGAACGTCACGTTCCTCCGGTCGCCGCTTCCGAACGCGCCGGGCGCGGAGCTCTGGGTCGTGCGCAGCGACGACTGCGACTACCACGCCAACTGCGGCTGAGGGGGTCTAATATATTGTACACACGCAGGTTCGGGGGGCGGGGCGGGGGGGCGGGGAGGGTCCCTACTGCACGTGGCACCGGGAGCCGCCGGCGCCGCCGGGCTCGCCGGGGTCGCCGAAGGGCTCGCTCTCGAGGCTGCTCTTGTCGACGACCTCGAAGTCGGTCCTCGACGGCGACGCCGGCGGCGACACCATGACGAAGGACGGGCTCGCGGGCTCCGCGGCGGCCGCCTGCGCGCGCTCGAACGCGGCCGAGATGGCCGCCGCGTCGGGCCCCCGGCGCCGCGGGTCGTCGGCGCCCGGCGGCGGCGCCGCGCCGCCGGGCGCCGGCGGCGGCGCCGCCGCCAGCGGCGGCGGCCGCGGCCGCGGCGCGAAGGGCGGCAGGTCGCCGTCGGCGCAGGCGCGGGCCCACTTGGCCGACGTCACGGGCGTCGCCTCCGGCGGCGAGCCGCCTGGGCAGGAAAAGAGTGTGAAATCTCCAACTTTGGAGGCTCATATCTCGGTCGTTTTCCCCTCGTTTCGGCTAATTTTTGGACGAGCGATCATCTCTCGGAGCGCTCCCGACGCGTGGATGCTTTTTCAGGAACGCGCGCGCGCGAAACACTCACGTTGAAGCGAACTTGAATCACTCTTTTCCTGCCCTGCGAGCTGCAGGGCGCCGTGTACCACGCGTGCGGTTCGCCGAATTTCGAGAGGCCGGGCCCCAGGTCCGCGAGGATCCACATCTTCTGGCGCCAGCGGTAGAGCGTCATGGCCGAGCCGACCTTCTTGTAGGCCGCGGCGCCCCGGTAGCCCCTCAGGTGGTGCCGCTCGTAGCGGCCGTCGACGGCGCCGCTGCCCGAGTCGCGGATCTCGTAGAAGGGCGACGGGTCCGGCCGCGGGTCGCCGCTCCCCCGCGCCATGCCCTCGGGCCGCGCCGACCCGACGAAGGTGAGGAGCCGCTCGCTGAGGCTGCACCAGCCCTCGTAGGCGCCGGGCTCTGCGACGCGCGCGCGCTCGCGGCCGCCGTCGAGCTTGATGGCGTCGACGCGCACGACGACGCCGGCGGGGATGTCGCAGAGCGGCGCGGAGCTCAGGGACGCGCCGGACCGCACGCGCACGCTCCGGCCCGTCGTGCGGTAGTACCTGGAAATTTTTTGAAAATGAGGTCGTGTTCTTCGGCGAGCGGTCGCGGCCGGGTAGGGGCAGCGCGGGCGGGCGCGGCGGGGCGGCGCGGGGGCGGGCGCGGCGCGGCGGGAGGCGACGGGCGCGGCGACGCACCCGAGGCACGGCGGACCCATGGGAGAGGCGGGCGCACAGCGGAAGGAAGAACACTGCGAAGCTTTTGTGTCGAGGCAAAAACACAAATGACGGCACATTCGCTGGCCAAAGATGAGCAACTGCTCAACCGGCTCGCGTGCAGAGTGATGATGATGGGCAGCCCGATGAAATAATGCAGGCAACGCTGTCGTCGCATACGAGAAGGACGTATGCGACGGTCTGACCACCTTTGACGACATGGACGACGACGACGGCGACGGCGACGACCCTACGATTATCATCGACGTGTCGGCCTGGCCAAGAGTGTCCTTCGCCCGCGCGGAGGAGCGCCTCTTCGAGGCGGACGGCGCGCCGGCGGCGTCGTTCGACGCGGCCGGCGCGCGCGGCGAGGCGGCCTACGCCGCGGCGTTCCGCCGGGCCTTCGCCGCGCTCGGCGCGGCGCCGGAGGACGCGTCGGTCGTCGCCGTCGCCGACGTCGTCCGCGACGGCGCGGCGCGGGCCGCGTGCGCCGCGGCGGCGCTCGGCGACCTCCGCTGCCGCCGCGCGGCCGCGGCGGGCGCGGCCTGGTGCGGCCTCCTGGGCCACTGCACGCAGGTCGAGCCGCAGGTCGCGCTCGTCCGCGCCGGTGGCGCGTGGACGGCCGCGCCCATGGAGGACGGCGCCGTCGACGCGGCGCGCGCCGTCGCGGCCGCCGACGGCACGGCCGCCGCCGCCGCGCGCGCCGTCGTCGACGCCGTCCGCGCCTTCCCGGAGAACGCATCGCGCTACTACGGCCGCGTCGTCGTCGTCGACCAGGACGGCGGCGACGACGCGCGCGCCGTCGCCGCCGCGCTCGCGGACATGGCCCCGGGCTGCTACAAGGTCGCCGTGCGCGCCGCGCCGCCGGGCGCGGCCCTCCGCGGGGCCTTCTGGCTCGACCACTTCTCCCGCCGGGGCGCGGGCGGCGGCTACCTCGCCCGCGAGGCCTTCGACGACCTCGTCGCGGGCCCGGACGGCGCCGCGGGCCTCGCGCGCCGCTTTGTGGATTATTAGGGACGAGAATACCACGCCGTCGGGGTCTCGTTTTAAACACCTTCAAAAACATGTGGACGCCGTCGGGGTCTCGTTTTGAACGCCTTCAAGTTGAACTCAATTTGCCACAAGCAGAATATTAATCGCCTTCTCAGGGTGCTCTCCGATGCTCCGGCGCGCCATCTCCACGACCGCGAGCTTCGACGTCCGGCGCGCCATGTCCGCGGCCGCGAGCTACGACTTCATCCGCGTGAGCGGCGTCGGGACGAGCGCCGCGGCGCTCGTGCTCGACCGGCCGAAGAAGCTCAACGCCCTCGATCTGGCCATGGTGCGCGAGGTCGCCGACGCCCTGGCCCGCGTCGAGGACGCCGCCAAGGCCGGCGGAAACTGCGCGACGCTCACGGTCACGGGCGCGGGCGGCAAGGCCTTCTGCGCCGGCGGCGACGTCAAGGCCGTGCGCGCGTCCGGGCTCGCGGGCCCGGCGCCCGGCGGCGACGAGCCCGACTACCTCCGCTTCTTCCGCGAGGAGTACGCGCTCAACGCCGCGCTCGGGCGCCTCGGGGCCGCCGGGAGCCCCGTGAAGCAGGTGAGCGTGTGGGACGGCATCGTCATGGGCGGCGGCGTCGGCCTGAGCGTCCACGGCCGCTTCCGCGTCGCGACGGAGAAAGCGCTTCTGGCGATGCCCGAGTGCGCCATCGGCCTCTTCCCGGACGTCGGCGTCTGCCACGCGCTCGCGCGCATGCCCGGCGGGTCCGGCGCCTACGCGGCGCTCACGGGCGCGCGCCTCGGCGCCGCGGATCTGCTCTTTTCGGGCTTAGCGACGCACTACGTGCCCTCGGAGCGGCTCGCCGAGGCCGCGGCCGCCGTCGCCGCCGTCGACGGCGCGCTGCCGCCGGCGGCCTTCGACGCCGCCGTCGACGCCGCGCTCAACGGCGCCGGGAACGGCGCGACACCGCCGGGCGAACACGCGCTCGCGGACCACGGCGAGGTCATAGACGCGGCGTTCGGCGGCGAGGCGACCGTCGGCGCCGCGCTCGCGGTTTTGGACGGCTTCGCGGCGGGCGGCGACGGCTTCGCGGCGAGTGCCGCCGCGGCCGTGCGCGCGGGGTCGCCGACGTCCGCCGCGCTGTCGCTCGAGCTCGTCCGCCGCGCGGCCGGCGCGAGCCTCGCGGACGTGCTCGCGGCGGATTTTCGAGTCGTGAGCCGCGTCGTCGGCGCGCGGCCGCCGACGTCCGACTTCTACGAGGGCGTCCGCGCGGCCCTCGTCGACAAGGACCGGACCCCGACGTGGCGGCCGCCGCCGACGGACGCGGACGTCGCCGCGCACGTCGCGCCCCTCGAACCGGGCGCCGAGCTCGCGCTGCCGTGAATCGGGGCCTCGTAGGACGAACGGGGCGCTAACGAAGGGGAGGTCACGCGAGCGCCGCCGCGAGCGCCGCCGCGGCGCCGAGGGCGACGGCGAACGCCGCGAGGCGCCGGGGCCGGAGCGCGGCGTGGAGGAACGAGGGCCGTTTGCGGCGCGGCGCCGGCTCCGCGCCCGGCGGCCCGTCCTTGGCGCCGTCGAAGCCGGCGGCGTCGACGGCGGCGTTCGCGTTCGCCGCGAGGCCCGCGACGGGCGCGGCGAGGAGCAAGGCGGCGCAGAGCGCGGCCGCGGCCTCCCCGCTCCCCCCGCCGGCGGCCGCGCGCCGCGCGCCGAGGGCGCCGAGCGCGGCCGACGCGGCGAGCGCGGCGGCCGCGGGCCAGCGCCAGAGGCCGTTGGCGTCGTCGACGAGCTGGCGGCCCTCGTCGAGGCGCGAGTCGTCGGCGGACTCGCCGCCGGCCGCGGGGCCGGCCGCGCGGAGCGCGGCCGCGAGCGCGAGGGCGTGCGCGGCGAAGAGCGCGGGCGGCGCGAGCGCGAGGGGCGGGCCCGCGGCGAGCGCGAGGCGCGTCGCGAGGCTCGACGCGGACGCCCACGCGCAGGCCCAGGGGTACCTGGGCAGCAAAAGGGTGATTCAACGTCGCTTCAACGTGAGTGTTCCGCGCGCGCGCGTTCCGGAAAACGCATCCACGCTTCGAGACCCTTCCGAGAGATGATCGCTCGTCTAAAAATCAGCCGAAACGAGTGGAAAACGGCCGAGATAGGAGCCTTTGAAGTTGGGAATTTCGCTCTCTTTTGCTGCCCTGAGGGGTACGCCGCGGCGCCGTTGCCGGGCGTCTCGTCGCAGCGGAGGTCGACGGCGTCGCGCGCGTAGAGCGCGACCTGGGCTAAAAAGCCCGCGCAGGCCACCACGGGCGCGGCGGCGGCGGCGCACCGGAGCACGCGCGCGCCCGGCGGCGCGGCTAGGACCGGGGCCGCGTCGCCGTCGTCGCCGCCGCCGTCGGCGGACGCGGCCTCGTCCGCGGACTCGGCGTCGCCGACGCGCAGGGGCTCGACGCGGCTTCGCCGCGGCTCGTCGGCCGGCGGCCGCCGGCGCCGCGCGGCGACGCAGCGGAGGCACGCGTCGTAGGAGCTCGGCCACGCCACGGCGAGGCCCGCGACGTAGAGCTGTAAGGGCGTCGCCAGGCCCGCGAGGCCCGCGCTCAGCAGGCCGAGCCAGCGACAAGTCCAGCGCGCGTCGCCGAGGGCCGCGAGGCCCGCGGGGCCCGCGCCGGACGGGCCGACGAGCGCCGCGAGCCACAGGGGCAGCAGCATCGCGCCGAGGACGCGCGAGCTCAGCGCGTCGAGGAGCCGCGCGAAGGCCGGCGCCGCGGACGCCAGATCCGTCTTCGCCGCCGACGCCGCCGCGGAGAGGCGGAAGTAGGCGTCGACGCCGTCGACGGCGGCCGGCGGCGGCGACCGCCGGGCGTCGCAGGCGTCCTCCTCGCGCTTGCCGTCCTCGGGCGGCGACTCGCCCCGCAGGCTCCGGACGAGGGCGTCCCGGTCCAGGAGCGGCGCGCCGAGCGCCTCGTCCGCCATCACGCGCTGGACCCGGGCCGAGAAGGTGGGCGTCCCGTCCGTCACCTGGGGCGCACCTCGAAGGACTTTGCTCGTGCCAACTTGTGGCAATTTATAATACTTCAAAACTTCAAAGTTTGCTTCTGGAATTAGCTCGGTGCCGCGGGCGGCGCCGCGCGGTTTGCCTCAGGAGCCGCCGAAGACCTTGGAGAGGAGGCGGTTCGTGCGGGAGCCCGGGTCGTCGACGTAGACGTCCGTGAGGCCGTCGAAGGCGGAGACCTCGAGCATGACCTGGAGGTCGTTGCGCTGGAGGTTGAGCTTGCGGAGCTTCTGGAGGCGGATGAAGGACCGCGGGAGCTGCGTGAGCTTGTTGTTGTTGAGGAAGAGGAGCTCGAGGGACGCGAGGTAGCCGAAGGACTCGGGCAGGCGGCTGATGGCGTTGAAGTCGAGGTAGAGCTCCTTCAAGTTCACGAGGCGGCCGAACTGCTCGGGCAGCGTGCCGAGCTTGTTGACGCCGACGCTCAGGTGCTTGAGCTGCGTGAGCGCGCAGACGCTGTCCGGCAGGCGGCTCAGGGCGTTGTCGTAGAGCTGGAGCGTCTGCAGGTTGCCGAGCATCTGCGTGCCCTCGGACGGGAGCTTCGTGAGCTTGTTGAAGCTCAGGCGCAGCGTCCGCAGGTTCGCGAGCGCGCCGAGCGTGTCCGGGAGCTCCGTGAGCGGGGATCCTGGAGCTCGAGGCTCTCGACGCCGGGGCACAGCATGAGGAAGCCCTTGGGCACGGCCTTGAGCTCGCCGTTGTTGAGGTCGCACTTCTTCTCGTCGCCGATCATCACGGCGACGACGGCGTTCTGCTGCTCGGCGCTCAGCGCCCCGAACCACTTCTTGTCGCCCTTGAGCATCTCCGACACGCGGTCGATCTGGGACCGCGTCGCCGTCGGCGGCTTGGACGTGAAGAAGCTGCCCCGCCGCTCCGCCATGGTCGCCGCCGGGCGCTATGCACCGCGGCGCCGCGAGGCGCGGAGCGCGAGGCGGGGCGGACGCCGGGTCCCGGGGCCGCCGCGGGCGAAACTCACGGCCGTCCGCGCGCCGACGGACACGAGCACGGATGTTTGGCCACCAGGTCCTCGGGCAAGCCCCGTGGGACGCGAGTATCATCTCGTATCCCCACGGTGCCGGATGCTTGAACTCGTTGCCGAAGCAACTAATGAGCCCCTCGACGACGCTCTCGTAGCCGCTGCAGCTCGTGCGACGACGCTCTCGTAGCCGCTGCGGCTCGTGCGACGGCGCTCTCGTAGCCCGCGCTGCAGCTCGTGATGGCGACGCCGGCGGCCTGGGCCGTGGGCCTGCTGCGCCTCGGCTCCGTGCCCTTCGCCGTCGCGCTCGTCTGGGCGTCGATCGCGCCCGAGGCCGTCGCGCCGCTGCGCCAGGCGCTCGTGGCCCTCGCCGGCGCCGTGCTCGCCTTCGTCGGCGGCGCGCAGCAGGCCGCCGCCGTCGCCGACGGGTCGCCCGCGGCGGCCGCGCTCGTCCCGGCCGGCGTCGCCGCGGCGCTCGTCGCCGCGGCGGCCGCGTGGCGGTGCGCGGCCGCGCCCGACGACGCGCCGCGCTGCGCCGAGGTCCTCGCGGCCGCCTACGCGGTCCAGGCGTGCCTCGAGGCGCGCCACCCGGCGTGGCGGCATCGCGCGGCGCTGCTCGTCGCCGCGCGCGCGCCGTCGATGGCGCTGGCCGTCGCCGCGCTCGGCGCCTGCGGCCGGCCCGGCGCCGCGGGCCCGGCCTTCGTCGCCGCGGTCGCCGTCGCGGCCCTGGGCCGGCCGCGGCCGGCGCGGCCGCGGCGGCCCGCCTTCGACCGCGTCGTGGTCGGTTCCGCGAACCCGGTCAAGGTCCGCGCCGTCGCGGCGACCGTCGCGGACTACGGCGACGTCGTCGCCGCGGGCGCGCCCGTCGGCGGCTTCGACGTGGCCTCGGGCGTCGCGGACCAGCCCGTCGGCCTCGACACGGTCGCCGCGGGCGCGCGGGCGCGCGCGGCGGCGGCCCACGCGCGGGCCGGCGGCGGCGCCGCGACGCTCGCCTTCGGCCTCGAGTCGGGCCTCTTCGAGGTCGCCGGGCGGCACCTCGACGCGTGCGTCTGCGACGCCTTCGACGGAAACTCGCACAGCCTCGGCGTGTCCTGCGCCTTCGAGATCCCGCCGGACGTCCTCCGCCACGTCCTCGACGACGGCATGGACCTGTCCCAGGCGGCGAACGCGTCGGGCCTCGCGCGCGACGCGAAGCTCGGCGCCAAGGGCGGCCTCATCGCCATCCTCACGCGCGACCGGGTCACGCGGACCGACTACACGGCCCAGGCCGTCCGCATGGCCCTCGCGCCCGTCGAGCACCGGCTCCCGCCGCCCCGGGAGGCGTGAACGCGCGCGGCGTGCGGAGATGCGTGGGTAAGTGCACGCTGTAGGATCCTCTTAGTATTCGGAGTCGCGGTAGCTGCGCCAGAACGCAAGCACGTGCGTGAAAACGTCTTCAGGTACCTCGACGAAGAGGCGCTCGTGCGCGCGCACGCTCGACGGACCACGGCGGCGGAGCCTCGGCAGGTTCCGTCGGAACGCGAGGAGGGCGGCGCGCGGCTGGGCCACGTGGGCATCCCAGCCCCCGGCCGCGCGCACAGCGGCCAGGAAGTTGTACGCCTCGACGTTGTACCGGGTATGGGGCTCGAGCCAAGGGAATTCATGATATTCTGCAACGCCCGCGTGCACATCGACCGCGTCGAGCCGAGCGCCCCGACTGAGGAGGAGCTTACACATTTTGCTTTTGTTGAAGAAAGCAGCGGCATTGAGTGGTGTCCCGCGCCGGGGTCGCACCCCGTCACCGCGGCCTCGAAGTACCACATGCCGTTGGCCGCGATGCGTTCTCTGCCGTAGCCTTTCGTCGCGCGCCTCTGTTCGAGCACCCGCATAGAGCAGGATTGCCGCAGCGGCACATTGGCCATTTGACGCGGCCATGTGCAGTGGCGTAGCATTGCAGAAAGTGTTTACATCAGCGTCGTGTTGTATAAGCCACTTGATCGCAGAGCACCAACCATTACACGCGGCTTGGTGCAGGCGTGTCTTTTGAGTACACTCGTCCCACATGTCCGCGGCTAGGTCCTCTTTTCTGAGGTACGTACAGCCCGGATTCAGGAAGTGAAACACACATACCGCGTCCACACCACCAGGCGCGCCCGAGGCGAACCATTTTTTCATTTGATCGAGAAAGGCCGTTCCATGATCTAAGATATTCCCTTGGTTAGCAACTCGTCCACGTTCCATGCTGCGTTCAAATCACGGCAGCCGCCTACAGTTTCGGGTTAACATGGCGAAGGTGAAGAATTGGTGAACCGCGCGGGCATGGAGGCTACGTGATGAGCAAAGGGAGCTAGAGTAAAGCAGAGCCATGGGCGCGCCGCGACCGCTCCACGTGGTCACCGCAATCCTCGTCGGCGCCTACCTCGGTCGGCGCGGCCTGCGCAAGGGGTCGCTGAGCAAAAGCGGCGCGATGGCGGCCTTCGCCGTGGCCGTGCTGACCTGGGGCAGCGGCCCGCGCTTCGGCATCACGCTCATCGCCTTCTACCTCTCCGGCAGCAAGCTCTCGCGCGTCGGCGCGGCGACGAAGATGCGCCAGGACGAGGCGGCGACGGAGGGCGGCGCGCGCGACGCGGCGCAGGTGCTCTGCTGCTCGCTGCCGGCGGCTGTGTCGAAACTGTCGCATATGCGCACATTGAAGTCGGGTTGAAGACTTGAATTCCACACAGGCCGGCGGCGCTCGCGGCCGCGGCGTACCGCGCAGAGATCGGCGACGACGCGCGCACAGACCTCACCGCCAACACCCGCGGCACCATGCTCGTCGCGCGCTTCGTCGCCTTCTTCGCCGTCTGCGCCGGCGACACCTGGGCGTCGGAGCTCGGCTGCCTCGCGGCGGCGCCGCCGCGGCTCGTGACGGCGCCGTGGCGCGTCGTGCCGCCGGGCACGAACGGCGGCGTGACGCTCGCCGGCACGGCCGCGTCGGTCGCCGGGGGCGCCTTCGTCGGCGTCGTCCACGGCCTCGCGGGCTTCGCGACGGTCGGCGCGTCGGCGGCCGGCGCGCGCGCCGAGGTCGCCGGCCTCGCCGCGCTCGGCGCGGCCGCGGGGTTCGCGGGCTCGCTGCTCGACTCGGTCCTCGGCGCGACGCTCCAGCGGACGAGCTTCGACGACGAGAAGCGGTGCGTTGCGCGGCCGGAGCGCTCGGACGCGCGCGCGCTCTGCGGCGCCGACGTCCTCTCGAACCACGGCGTCAACCTCGCCTCCGCGACCGCCGTCATGCTCGCGGCGCCGGGAGCCGCGCGGTGGTGGCTCCTCCGCGCTTAGTAACATATCCCGCCA